ACTTGTATAAAAGACTAAGAATAAACTTCAAACAATCAACTAACCAGAACTTTTGTAGAAAAGTCATTTCAGTGGTGAACAATGGACACAGGGTGTGACCTATGTCTACAGCATCTCTGTTTTCAACTGATGCTCTATTAGTTTAATCTGTGAAATCTATAAAAATAAAAGTAAAAACTCGTACAAAGACATCAAAACTGTCAGACTTGAGGCGTCGTTAGTACCAAAGCAGCTGGAACAGACTGTCTCGCAGTCTACAGTAAGTCTTTAAAGCCAAGGAGAGTATGCAATGAATATGAAAAAAAAACTGTAATCCATGGTGTCTGATTTCAGCTCCAGGGCAGGGGGTCGGGGCCAGCCACGCTGTCAGGAGCTACTATATTTAAGAATTACTGCTCACTATTTGTCGACTTGTTTGGGCAGTGCACAAACACTCGTGGCATATGTACCTCCTGAGCCCCACCTCTTTCCTCCACATCCACAGCTGCAGCAGCCACCACCCCCGATCGTTTTGATCTAATTTCCTTTTTTCCCCTTCTTCCTTTGCCTTTCCTGATGAAATTGATTTCTGCTTGTTTGGTTTGGCAGTAATAAGATCAACAGTAGGATCATGTTTCAATGGCATACTACCTTGAACCCCAGGCAAATGATTTGTCCAAACTTAATAATGGAAATACTTAGGATGTACTGGGAGATGTAAACAGTAGTTGTAATAAAATAGTGCCGCGAGGTAAGGGCTCCTTTAAGTTGCAAAGCCTTTCCACTTACTGTATGCCGGCCGTACACACCTCAGGCACTCCCAAAACACTACAAATAAAAATGTATCCCACTCAGGCTGTCGAAAAGTCACCCGATAAAAGCCTTTTAATTGGAGTGCGGTCTGTGGCGTGACACGTCTGGCCCACGTTTGACCAGCGGTGACAAAAGCATCAACAGAGAAAACCATTAATGCTTCACTGCACATGCTATTCATTTAGGTTCGGTCACATACACATGCAGATGTTCTCAGCATATACTTTTGTTATACCTGTTTCTACTTTGCTAAGGGCGATGACCACAAAAATGCTACACCACTAATGTGGAAAACAATATTTCTCTAGTTTGCCTCCATTGTTTACAAGCCCAGCACATGTTTTTCTCTGATTAGAGAATCGTAGTTTACAACTCACGGTTTGCAGAAAAGCCACATTTTCTCTTTGTAAACTTTAAAAAGCTATATAAATGATTATGCTGCAAGCATTGTCAGTTTTAGTGTAAACCGAGGGGAACCGTTCCTCTTTTCTCTCAGCACAAATGCTGATCAATAAGTCAATCAATTCCCACATTTCCAATTTTGGGATTTTTCTAAAATTAGGTTTCTATACTATCATATGTGTATAGATTTCTTCCTAATACGTTTAAGCCCTTTGTTTACAGGCCATCCCCTCACACCTTGTATGCATTGGCCCACTTACATTCCTCAAAGTGAATTAGATTAGTTTCACTCCATGGAGGATGGCAAGGTTACTCCTGGTCTTCTGCCCTGACCTGAAAATGTATCCATTCAGGAAATGCTTTACATCCTCTCTCCCTCTTTTCCCACAGATTTATGCTCCGTCTTTCCAACAAAAAACAAAAACAAATATAGTTTCTTTAATAAATAGTTCTTCAAACAGCGTGTCCAGGTGGATCTATTTATTCTTAACAGTCAAATTGCCTGTATTTTTAAATTTGTTTGCTGTGGCTTGATGGTGTAGCAGAACACATACTAAAAATATTTTAAATATTGGTATTTTTTCTTCTTCGTGTCAGTCTTCAAATCTGTGCTTCACAACTCTATATAGTGTGGGCAGAAAGGCAGAGTTCAGGGCCCATAACAGCTCCATAGCTGCTCTTTGTGACTGTGTTGACCCAAAATTTATACATGCAAACATATTTGGGTCAGTGGCCTACTGTCAGGATCAGCCTGACTACTCACACCTGCCTCCGGAGGTTTACTTCCTCTAGCTGCTAGCAATCCAGCTGGGAGAGAGACATATCTTATAGATAGGGAGAGAGAGCTATTCAGGAACAGCTAGCTGACAATGCAGCTGATTGCCAGAGAGGTTGATTGCCTCATCAGCCTCATCAATCACACCTGTTGGCCTGGATATATATATACCCACCACGCACACACACCTCTCCCACAGTGTCTTTGTTGCTCAACTTGCTGTTTGTGTTTTAATTGTGTGCCTTCTATTTTGATGCCTTTTATTTTATTTTTTTGTCTTTGTTGTTTTGTTCCTATGTTTGTGTTTTCTCTTTCTTTTATTTTTGGTGAAAAGCTGAAGTTGATAGTTTAGTTTTGTGCTGCATTTGAATCTTTCCTGCTGTGATTCTGTGACATATCCAACTAAAGTAGAATATTCTCACTGGCCACTCAAGAATATTGCAGCCAAAGCAAAAAGGAAATAATTTATATTTAGGGAACTGAATCAAAATGCTCAAGTTTATATTAAATGCGTTGTTTAAATCGCTGTTTTTAAAGCAGTTTGCTGAAATACAATAAATAGTGAGGCCATGTTCTGTGATTTTTGGTCTGGTTCAGAGCAGTCACAGCTTGGGGGAATGAAGCTGTCTTGTTGTAGCATTGCCTGCAAAACACACAGAATTACAAATGTGAACAAACCAAGTGTGAATTCAAACAGTTCTGACTATGAAAGTTTCCCTGAGAATATTAACACATTTTGTTTAATTTATCAAAGGTGGAGGCATTTGATAGCAACAGCATCATCTGTTTTTTCACCTTAAATCAAATCCATTTGTGCTAATTAGTTGAACAAAATACTCTCAATACTACTGCCCTCAGAAATATTACTGAAAGAAAGTTATTTTTTAGTAAATATTTACCATTCTGCCCTCAGAAATATTACTGAAAGAAAGTATGAAAGGTGGATTGGTCTGTGATTGGTCACATTTCTGCCTGTTTTCAGGTAACTCAGGTAATGCGGACCAATTATCAAACAATGTGAATGTGAGTTTGTTTGTTTTTCAACACCTTGATCAGCAGCAAGTGATGGAAACACTAAAAGTTGGTGGAAATAAACAGCGGGGCCTGTGTCAGTGTGGGGGCGGGCTTGTAAAACACCTGTTTGCAGTATGTGGGCCTGAAAGCTGGAGCTGTTAATAGCTTGCCATAAATCGCTCACTCCATTGTTCTGTCACCAGGTTGTAGGCCTGCATTTCTCTGTGGGATTCATGAGGCAAAAACTCTGTTGAAAAGTATGACCTCCCCAACCTTCCTATCACCACTTCACAAACTCTGACACATGCACACACTCGTGTCGTACAAATGCAAATCTGCTGTTTTCCGCTCCAGATCATCTGCAGATCAACTGTAATTTGGTTCTTGTTATGTAATAAGCCCAAAAGTGAGCAGGGAGGAAATGAATCATAGCATTTTTCAAATGTTTTAACCATTCTATTTATGTTAGTTTTGTGAATGTTTTCAGGAAAATAGCCAACTGTTAGTCTAAGACTGGGCTAAAAACTAAAGTCCAAAAAAAATGAAATAAATACATTTAACAAATGTAATAATCCCTCCTTGTTAAAAATAAACGCTGCACATGCATTTAATTAATTGTGTACAGTTTTACTATAACTGCTAGAGTTCTGATGTGAGAACTAATGTTTTCACTGTTGACAAGGAGACAGTTAATTTTTAATAGCTACTGTTGACTCGTGAGGTTATGGGAAAATCCTCCAGAGAGGTGTTCCTTTACTAATTAGGCTTTTGACAACAAACACAAGCTGTTTGGTGGAAAGAAGTCATTGATGGTGTGTGAATCTACAGGAGAACCACAACTGTGTGTGTGTGTGTGTGTGTGTGTGTGTGTGTTATCACCTGGACACCCTCAGTAAATCCCCCATCTCTTTTATTTCTAAAATAGACCTGTGTACGTCTGAGGAGTCTCACTGATGCACCACAAACAAAGGAGGAGGCAGTGAAAATTGCAAGGAGGGGCTCAAAAAGAGCAGTCGCTCCAGACAAGCCTGGACGAGAAAGAAGGGAGACCTCTGGCCTTTCACGGCTCGGCCCTCGGAGTCTCCTCAGATGATGGGGGTCAACTCAGTCTAACTAGCAGCACAAAAACAACGGGAGGAGCAGAGGGAGGAGAGCTGAACACCTGAGATCAGATCTGCTAGTCATTTTGCCTCGAGTAAGAGGTCGTCGGTGTTATTATTCTTTTTGCCTTTCAAGGGCCAAGCCTTCATTGTGTAGGACAAACATCAAGGGGTTAAAGGAAAAAGGAGAAAGTGACACACTGGATCTCTCATCTGTGATCTTCACAAACATCTTTTTTATATTATGAAGAAGCGGAAAAACTGGAGATCATTGTTTAAAATAATTCCGTCATTATCGTATATTTTTAGTCTTTTTTTCATCAAATGGTGGTTTTATTATGAATGACGCAGCGTTTGAACTGCAAACTGAGTGAGAATGTACAGGTTCTTTTAAAAAGAAGAATGCTGAGTATGTACTAATGGAGTTTGTTCCCATTTTAAAGCTTAGATGGGAGAAAAAAAGGCCCTCACTAGCTTTTCTACATTCTCTGTCTAGTTTATGTTGGGAGGCTATAATAAAAAGCCACCATGTGCCAATTGAGCGCCTACAATTAGCAGATTAGAGTGATAAAGAGGTTGCATGGCTGCGAGGCACGGGGCCGCCTCCCCAGGCCCTCAGGGCTCCACGATGGGCAGGAGCAGGAGGAGGTGGAGGATGGTGTGGGCTGAACCACTGATGAAGGGCCCAGATAATCTCTTCCTCCCTCCCCGTCTCCCTCTCACTCCTCACTCCCCTCTCACTTCTCCTCCCTTCTCCACACCCGACCCAATCCCTCACACTCTGTGCCCTGGAGCACCTTTTGCAAATACCTGCTCAATATTCTAGTTGGGGGTGCAACAGTGGTGTTGGTGGGACATGTGGCGTGTCTGCAGACGGGAGATACAACGCACAAAAAAGCCGCTTGAAACAAAAAGCAGAACATCTGCTAAAGCGATTGCAGGGTAAATATGTTTGACAATTATTGTTTACAGTGACAGTGGTAACAGTTTCAACGCCCAAATCAAAACCCCACCATTTCTCGATTTGCAGTGAAACAGATGGGCCTACAGCGATCCATTAGCAACCTGTCAAAAGCATCATTCTCAACTTACTTTTATGCCTGTGCTGGTTTTTTATTTTTATTTTTTGGCAGTGTGACAGTAGAGACGTACAATTTGGGCACAAAAAAATGTTATTGTTTGCTTAAAAAATCTGTTACACACTTTTGGTATTATAATCATTATTATTATTAGTTAAATACATTGATTTCTTTTTTTTATTTACCCTTAGGCCATCAGGCTGCTTTTTTTTTTACACAGGATGCAGCACAAAGTAATGTACACAATATAACAAATTTTAAAAATCCAAATGTTTGGCTCATCAGTCTCACTCCAGGCCCAAATGGATAATTTGGCCAATGTGTTTAATTTTGCTTGATTTTTAGTCAATGTTTGCATCTAGTTTGAGCCACAAATCTAACTTGATGTTTAAGTATTGCACAACTACACAATGAAAGGCATGTAAAACAATCCTTTTTCACACCCAGGTTTTGCTAACACCTAATGATGAAGAAGTTGGTCCAATTAATTATGCACTGTAGGTGTTCCTTAAAATAGTTGTTTCACTGGACTCGTGATCCTAAAATAACCACCAAGGCGTTGACCAGAGAGCAGCAGAAGCGACAGCTAGCAGCAGTCGTGTTTGTGCTCACTCTTGAATCAGACTGTGTCTAATCTGCACTCGAATAAAACAGTCGTAATAAGGAACAGTGTGAGTCGCAGTTGTAAAACAATTAAAAGGCACAGCAGTGTTTTTGGTATAAAATTTTCAGTATTATTGCTCACTGCTAGCTCACAGCCTTCCTACGGTTTCATCTGGAAGTAGCAGAAGCAGCATTGTAGGCCTCGTGTTACCTACAGAGTCCATTCACAAATCTGATGATTTGTCCCTAAACTCTGCCTTTTGTTTTTGTCTTTTGTCTTTTTTTTTCCAAAGTTAAATATAGTAGGAGTTGAAAGTTTAATTCCTTGCTGTAAGCTAATTTGCTAACAGCTAACATAACTGCCTGAAAGGGCCTGGTATTTAACAGACTAAAAGGAGAAATATTTCCACCAATAGCAAACAAGGACAAACTCTTATAAATAAATCAATTCTCCACCTGTGTGTTTTTAGCACTAGGGCGGTGTATGATGTAAATGGTGTGTGTGACTGTCAACGTTGGCCCGTCACAACAGTGCATCTGCAATGAGGCAAAGGCGTTATCTACTGCTACCCCTGTCACCACTCCTCCCCTGCACTGTACGGCTCTAAATACGCTCAATCAAATAATGTGTTAGGAATAATTAACCTCGGAGCTCCCACTGCTTCTAATTGGCACCTATTAGAGGGCTGTATGATTCCTTGGTAAACACTGAGAGGAGAGAGCAAATGGCAGCAGTGGTGGGCCTAGGTTTGATTGGTAAGCAAAGTGCGGGAGCGATGCATACCGGGGGTAACCAACATTTAATTATCAATGAGGTTTTCGCAACACTTTAGAAAGGCCCCGGGCATCGTTTCCTTCAGTAGTAGTAATGGGCTCTTTTTAATGGAACTTGTGTTAAACATGGTGCTGCCACTGCAAAGCTTTGGCGTTCAGCCCCAGTCGTGGCTGCTTTAATTTAGGTGACGACTCAAAGAAGATGGAGCTCAATTGGGGGGCACGCACTTTGCAAGGGTGCACCACCAAAAGCCACGGGAGGAGATGAAGAAGATGCTCGTACTGACTTCACATAGGCTGCATTTACATTCCCTCATTTGCATCCTCGCAAAGCAAAGGTCTAGGGTTCAGGAACTTGATTCATTCATGTTTAATGCAAGGCATTGGGAGGAAAAGAAATACAAATGTTACTTTGTAAGAAGGGAAAATGTACTCTGATTTACATACATAGGATTTATACAATAACATGGATTATTGTAATTGTAAACGTCCTTTGAGCAAAAAGCTTAGAGACCTTTTATGTTTGTGGTTATCCAAATAGAACTATTAGGCACAGAATAAAATTCAGAGACACTGGAGTTGTCACTTTGACAGTGAGAGTTGTTGAAGAGCTGAAACACTATAAACTTGGATTCCACTCTTACAGTAACCATCACAGGACCAACGCCAGGCCAGTGGCGGTCAGGGCAGAGCCGAGCTTAGGTGACCCATTTTTTCGGGGTTGTTCCTAAAAGCAGACAGCTGGGAGTCACAGGGTGACCCTCCATCATCACCAACACTGTAATGTGGTGTAGCACGTGCCAATCAAGGCCAACGAGATGACAAGTTCATCATGACATGGCCGATGTCCTCTCCCCTCTTCACTGCCTAGACATCTCAAACACAAGAAAACATGCCATCCATTATGGCATTTTAGTGTCAGCTGACATGTTTACTTTGGCCAGAACCTTGAAACTGACAGAGGGACAACAAAGTTTACAGAGAGAGGGGTGTATTTCAGCCGGTCTTGTAAACAAAATGTTTTTGGAGAGGCAAATTTGTGGAAAGACGCAAGAGGCCCCGGCTCATCACTTTGTGCTCACCTTTGCGAACAAAATGTCTGTCACAAAAAAAAATATTTAGCATTTATTTAGGATCACTTATGCAGCAGCATTAGCATTTATTTAGGATCACTTATGCAGCTGATCTGGTTGTTTAATATAATAGTTTTTGTCAGCAAAAATATTACAAAACTGTAGCTTCAAAGGCATAGAGTAAGTTTGACTGGCCTGCTTGCAGTCCAGATCTCTTCTATTCAAAATGTCTGTTGCATTGTGTCGGAATTTCCACATTTTCTTCATTTGAAAAAGTTGTTTATTTTGCACATTATTTTAGAATTCAAATTATATTATTTTTGATTATTTTATTAAGTGAGACAACTTTTTTGGAAATGTGTTCTGCTCGTTCCCAAAGTTCTAACATAAAGATGTATTTAAATGTATTCTTGGTATTTAAAAAAACATTAATGTAAATTCACAAATTTGAACATTTTAAACATATATGCAGAAAATCTGAATGTTCACACTATTCCCCACTATTTTGGAAAGTGGTCATTTCCATTCTCCAACTACATGGAGGAAATCCTTTTCCTGGACACTTACATTGAGGCATACTGTTGCCGGAGAGAGAGAGAGCGAGTACTACGAAGTACTAAGTGAAGGATGAAGTGAGGAAGAGAGCAGCACATCTGACACTCCACTGGCATGAAAGTGAGCCCCTCAAGCTAACAAATTCAGAGAGAAAATTACAGTTTTGCGCATTTGTGTCAATATGCATGTCAAAAGGTAATTGGTAAATTGTTCTGCAACGTCAAGTCCTGTTGGCAATGTTTAGCCTGTGGTGAGATCAAAACCATTTCTTCACAGGCACTGAGAGGCCAGACCAAGCACTCTAACTCACCCAACCACACAGGTCTCTCCTTTAAGCTAATAATGTGGCTGTTTATCATAAAGTGAATGTGTTACAGAATCCACTGAAAATAAGCGAAAAACACTGTGTGGTACTTTGCACTGTAATAAAACCAATTCAATTACTGTGTAAATAATTTTAAATAAATTAACCAGAGTGCTCAAAAATATAAGACAAATTATAGAAGGAAAGAGTTGGGTGATTTTTTTTTTTTTTAGCTTCCACAAATATGTTCTAGTTCTTATCTGTAGTATAAATCAATTCAGCATATTATTATAGTTTTTGTGTATGTTTTTTAAAATACAATGAAAACAGAATGATTTTATGAATACAAAACAGAAGCAGATAACAAATGCATGTGGTGTTTTTTTTTTTTTTTACTTTTTACTTGATGTAAAATCTACTACCATTTGTAACTTTTTCTGTAAAACATAGGCCAGACCGCCTGGAGGTGCTGTCTAAGGATTCCATAGATTTTCATTCGTCTTGGCTTCAGCAAAGACCTTTTGTTCTGACAATAAATATTGTTCTGCACTATTTTCCACTAGGTTATGTGTAAAAATTCTAAGACATAGTAATTATTTAGGATAACAGAGAGCCATGGAAAGTAGATGATGCGTTGGGTAGCTTTAAAGTCTGCTGAAAGATTGAACTCAAACATTAGGATTTTAAAATGAATAAAAAAGTATTTTTTACCAGAAAGTTTAGGGACTGAATTAAAGTTCTATACAGACACACAAAAAAGTGTCGTCCTGACAGCCATACATCAGACATGTGATCTCACAGAAGCCTTGGCTCTATGCAAGTTCATGACGTTTGGTTACGTCACAGACCTTATACTGTCCAACGCAAGTGTTGAAAAAAAATACACACGATGATAAAACAAAAGTAAAAATATGTTATACAAGTATAAGGAATAATGTGGGTAATAATTGGTTGTTTCACCTCAACTTTCAAATTTCAGTCTCCTCTCCTTTTAGATCCAATAATAAACGAATTTTAAGTGCATGAGTGTTTTCTCTGCCGTGGCTCACCTGAAGGCACCAGCAAAGCAGAATGGGTTTGCTGAATTTTAGGTCCGTTAAAGGCTCCAGGGCTAAGAGGCCAATCTTTTGTGTCCCATCTCTGGATAAATTTCAATGATAATTTGGGTAAAACAAAAAAAAGAAAAAAAACTTTGTGAGGGGTTAAAAAGAAAAAAAAAGAGAATAAAAAAAACTGCACAAAAATACGTGACCTAGGGGACTTTGTGAGGATATTTAAACAATAATAATAATAATTATTATTATTATTGTTTAAATATCCTCACAAAGTCCCCTAGGTCACTCTTTTTAAACTGTTATATTATAATAATATTATTTATCATGTCTTATTTACTTGTCACTATTTACGTTTGTGATTGGACTTTTTTTTTAAATAAACCAATTAAATTGCACGTGAGCCAAGTCATTAAAAGACAGAAAGAATGGACAAACGGGAGAAAAAGAGAAAGGAAAAGTAGATGGATGAAGAAGGAGAATGACAGAAACGGGGGGAGCTCGTGTACCAGTCGCTAAAGGGTCGAGCCAGGGAGTTGATTAGGTTCGGCAGAGGCAGAAGCTGCTGCGGCTTTCTGTGCGCGTTGAGTATAAGTCCTTTATCAAGGGGAGGCACCGGCGTGGCCCGGAGCTATTGGTGCCCTGCAGCAAAGTACCAGGGAGAAGGGGAAAAGGAGAGGAGGGGAAAAGAGGGGAGAGGGGAGGTCTATCATCGAACTTCATAATAACGCTTGGGGTTTACCACAGCTGCGCAGTGACCCTTTTATTTTCCTGTGATGGAACAGATAGCTCACTATGAAATAGTGTGAAATTATCATGTCTATTAATTCAGTCAGACATCCGCGGCTCTGCTGCCGCCACCCCACCACGACCCCCACCTCTCCTCTGTGTCTCACTCCATTCCTCATCCGTGGAAATATGTGATTTCCGAGCAAATTCTCCATTTTAACAGAGTGATTTTTCATTGTTGATTCACAGAAAATAAGGCAAAGGTTGACATGGGCTGTTAAAGCAGAGACCCAGAGTGTGTGTGTGTGTGTGTGTGTGTGTGAGGGGGTGGGGGTGTTTGGCTCCATCTTTAACTTATATGCATTTGCAAGAGAAATTGCGCCAGTTCGTAAATTTATTACAGAAAAATAATTTGATGACGTTATCGAACCACTCGGTCCATGTGGGCCGGACCCCACACTGGGATGAGCTGTTAGTCCACCTGCTCCAGAAAACTAATATAATCACATCTCATTATATATGTCATATTTGTCCCTTTTGTTTTAATAACCCAAACTTTACATTCGTAGGCCTATTATATAAAATTATTATTATTATTATTATTATATAAACTTGTGTGACTTAAAAGTTAATTTAAATATTTTTCCTAATCAAACTTATACAACAAAAGTTGTATTATTATTTCGTTTCTTAAATTTAATCTGACATTTCACTGAGCTCTGTTGAGCTACAAGTCACTACAATTTTGTCTTCTTTAATTTAATATTTTCTACATTATTTTGCCGTATGATTCAGCCATGTCTCTGCAGGATCGTGTCAGTCTTCTGGCGCCCATACTGATTTCTGTTATTGTACAAAAAACTTGGTATGTGGCATTTATGGGAAATAAAAAAATAAAATGGAAAAGAGGTTTTGACACATATTGCGCTGTCCTGTCACCACCGAGGAAATCAGTGTCCCCAATATGACGATCTGACAGCAACACAAACAACAACGAAGTGAGACTGAGAATGAGAGGGCTGCAGAAACTCCCTTTTAAAGGATGTGTGGCCTTGTGCGTAAAGAGCGCAGAGGTCTGGTTTGATAAAAGATCTGGGGTTTGATACAGTGAAGCAGAAAGACACAGGGAGAGAGAGAAGAGTGAGAGAGAGAGAGCGTTGATTGAAATGGCGTGTGCCTGGCTGAAGGGAGCCAGTGAGGGACAAAGCCCCTGCGAAGCCACGGCCACTCGAGCAATTATTCCTCCACGCTGCATTTGGATTAGTGCAATGGAAAGAAGCATATGTTTGGCCCGGGGCGACACTCCCCCCCTGGCTGACTGCAGAGGATGCAGGGTGAGAGCGAGAGAAAGAGAGACAGAAGAGCGACAGAAAAGAGCGAGAGAAAGACAGGAAGGGAGAGAGAGAGAGAGAGAGGGCGCCAGGATGGTTCTAACTAAAAATATAAACTGCATTAACCTCTATGAAAATTAACGTGAACGATATATATATATATAATCCATATTTCTGTGAATGAATCGTAGTAGAATCAGCCAATCAGGAGAGCCTTTGTTTATTCACTGTGACTTAATGTGTTCTAATCGATTAGCTAATGTCTGCAGTAATCAAGGGCGATTTGGTGGAGTCATTGACCCCTCTTGGCTTCTTGAGCTCTGGCTCGTAAGAGTGGGCGGGGGGGGGGCACATTGGGGGTCAGCGCCAGTCGAGGGGCCACAGCCCCAAATGACGGCTGATGTCAGAGTTGAGGACAATTAGCCATTTTGCGCTTCATTGCCAACTTTAAAGTCTTATAATTTGATTGCGCCAATAACCATATCCAATGACGTTTAGTGGAACCTCAGCGCCCTGTCCAGGCCGCTTATGATCTAACTGTTAAAATAACCTTTTTGGTCAAATGAAAGTAGCTGCAAACGACGGCAAAAAGCTGTCAATATAAATGCCCATCTGTTTCCCATCATCCAGGACTTTTTCCTCTACTGTTATTTCTGGAGCAACAACACATTTAATCCATCAAATCCTCTATCAAAACACATCTTTATTACTAATAAGAAAAAAACTCTCAAAGGCTTGTGTGGAGGCTAATCCTTTAAACGGACCGAGGTATTTTTTATCTCTTTTTCTAAAGTGTTCCGCAGTAACTGATTGTCTTTAAACAATCACTCCAGCTGCCTCAGATCTCACTGTTTAAATGTCACACTTGGATTTAAATCAAATTCCAATCATAGCAATATAACATTCGCGGCATGAGAATGTAAAAAAAAAAGAATCTGGGCCTTGTTGCACTATATCTTCCCAGCTCCAACGCATTGCCTCCAAGCGTTACAGTGCAGACTGTTGTAGTTGTGGTGATGGTGCTGTGGGCTAATTAGGCCACGCAGTCGCTCCTTTCACCAATAAGCAGTGATCTCAGCAGCTTTAGCTGCAACACTCTCTGACCACAAACATGGCTGTGTTACAGCATTTACAGAGAAATGATGAGCGCAGCAGTGATGTGCAGCTGCTCGGAGATGAAAAGTTGTCCGACATGACCGATAGACAATGATCAGTAGAACGCGACTGGCGTAGAAATGCATATGTTTGCAGAGTGAGTGCAGAAAAACACCAATTTGTCCTGAAAATTAATACCCGGAGCATGCGTTATTTATTTAACTGTATTTAAAATGGAAATTATTTGATGGCAGGAACATATTTTGGCCACAGTGGGAACCACAAAAACAATAAACATTTTAATTTTTATTTTTTTATTTTCATCAAAATAATTTTAATTTTAATCAAAATAGTGTTCGTTTTTTCTTCAGAATATTAGTTGACAACAGCCATTACAACTATTAATTACAAAACCAGCTGTAATTGGTTTAGTGGAGAAGCAGCAGTCATGGATTGAATTAACCAAATTCAGCTGGGTATTTCTGACTGCCTCTTCAAATTTCAGGCCCCTCTCTCTTGTCTTTCGCCGAGAGGCAATTTGCAAGGAGCTAACTCTACCTGTTCGATGTAAAAAAAAAAAAGGCTAAAAATACAGCTACGTAATGAACGCATGCAAATAATCGGCTAATATCGATGTAAACAAACATCAGACAATGGGATTTGGACTTTCTTTTCCACTCCAATTCCATTACGCACAGACACACAATCCCAGGCCCAGCGATCTTCCCCTCATCCTCTCCCCATAATACGCACAAATACAGCTTCCATTATTGTTGCAGATGCCACTATTTCTAATGCGTTTGTTTCACCCTCACCATAAACCATTTTTTGATTCCAGCAAACCCCCTTATGCATTTATTAAATAACATTAGCATTAATGACACACGTGAGGGGCTTCCCTCTTGCGTTAATACCAATGAATGCATGTTTTAATACGATTGTTTTCCCCCTTAAAGTGACTATTTATGCTGTTCCCCCCTTCGACATCCACCTCAGCAGGAGCAGCCGGGTAGTCTCTCTCCCCTTTATGAGTGAGCTATTGTGCCTGAGGACAGGATCCCACACACAATCTGAGGACTGAGCCAACAAAAACAGGGCCTGACAGACAATGCTCCGCTTCACCTGCTCCAGCACCGTGCATCGCAATTATGCCAAGGACATGTACAGTTAGGTTTCATTCACCCCTCCTGCAAAACAACTGCCTCAGAATTAAAGCAAGGGGGTGGGGGGGTTGCGAGCATCATGCAGATAACAAATATGGAGACAGAGACGGAGAGATGTGGGGCTATATGGCTCCGCTCATTCCATCTTCCACTGTTACAATATTTTAAGCGGCATGGTTACCAGACAGTGAAATGGGAAAAAGCAAGAAGAAAGGAAAAAAAACAGCAACACCAAGATGCATCTATCACTGGACTGATTCACGCTCCAGACAAGATTGATTTCGAGCTATATATCCTCCACCACGCCATCAATGCACAATCAAAATCAGCTCAAATGTTATGCAACGGCCTTCCCTTCTGCACTTCTGCAAGACAATAATAACAGTAATAATAAAACAGAGGGGAAAAAAGGGGCCAACGTCAAATTTACCACCAGTCACATTCACAGTGCTACTCAGCCATACACAGAAAATTAAAAAGCAGTTAGGGAAGGGAGATTAGTTATGAAAGTACATCAGCCCAAAATATATATACATCTTTACAGACACACAGCATACTGTGCACTGATTGTTCATTGATTACGATGAGAGGCAAACAACACAAGCCTAACAAATATTTGATGCATGTCTTTGAATGAGACTCCAGCACAGAATAAACGATGGATGGAGCCAAATATAGCCTGCAACAACCAAACAGTGCACACCAGGCCCATATACATCTCAGAGGGTTTTAGCTGGAGGCTGGCTGCTGCTGCACACACTTCAAACGCGAATATATCCATTGTTGTGAGCCACTTGGCCTGCATAAGATCCTGTGCTCTGAACTAGGGAGTTTAAAGTAAGATTTTTTTTATTATACTTGAGGGAAACAATGAGTTCAGCTGCTTATTGCAGAGAGCAATTGTCAGGGGAGACTTAAGCTCAATTACTGTAGCCGTTCAAAATAGAAAAAAAAAAAAAACAAGACCTAAAAAGAAAAAAAACCATCCAGGCTATGAATCAGTGAATAAAAATTTAAAGATAGGAATAAAAATCGAGATGAAGCGTATCAAATATTTATTTTTTTCAGGGCAACAAAGGACTATAATACATTGACAGGCATGGGAACTATTGCCAGCACATGTCTATACAATACAGCTAAAACCGCCTCCAATTTTGGACATTATCGGACATAACAAGATACCAGGTGGTCCCAAAATGTTTTTTTTTTAGTGTTCCAACATTTAAAAAAAAAGACAATATTCCATTTATTGCTTTTATGGTGCTTCAAGGAGAGAACAAGGGGTGAAACGTATTCTGATTGGCACAACACATAAAAGCTTGTATAAAAACGAAAATAGAAACACACACACGGAAAGAAACAGTTCTCCTCAGGGTCTCACTTATGCTCTGTCTCAAATTAAAACCGAAAAAAGGATGATATATATTTATAGATAGAGAAAGAGAGACTGAAGTTTATTTCTATTTAATTTGTTCACTTGCTTCAATTTCGCCTCAACATGCTACAAGAGGGCTGAATTGAAAATATCCCAGAGAAATAAAAATACCCCAAAAACTTCTGTTTTCTATAAACCATAAAATCACATGAAGAACTAACCGAATATTCAAACCCACTAAAACAGGAGGCACCAGATAAATAAAAAAAAAGAAGTTTAAACAGACGCACCATATTTACAATTCCCATTAAATTACACATAAATAAATATATACATACATGAACACTGATTCCCTTATATAACCGCGAATCGTGTTGAAATTCAAAAAAGTTCAAGTTGGTCGTTGGAGAGAGAGAGAGTGAGAGAGAGTCTACAACTGAAGTCATGACAGGGAGCTCTGTGGAATTTCTCTTTGTTTTCAAGTTTATTATTCACAATACTGATAAGAATTCATCCTCTTTTAGCTTCGATTTTGTTCACAATCGTAAAATGGAGATATAGGTTGGGGGGTTCGCTGGATTTCAGTCCATTCGCTGCAGCTCATAAAAAAGGAGAGGAGTACATAAAAAGTCCTGTGGCTGAGGCAGTGGGCCTTCTCACTCCTTCTCCTTCTCCTTGCCCTGGAGCTCATCCTCTGCAGCCTGTTTTTCTTTTTTTCTTTTTCTCTATTTTTTTTAAAATAACATTTCGTGTGGTTCAGGTGTTGGAAGATGGTGATGACGAAGGAAAAGAAGTAGAAGAAAACACTTGCGTAATTTCCTCTTGAATCCAATGTGGGGTGTAAAAAGAAAAACATGGAAAATTACGCAAGTTTCAGGAAGTGGCACAATTTACTTTATCAATAGTATTTATAGGGTATTTATAATATTTATATTGGATGGGCGGGGCCCTCGGGTGTGTGCAAGCAGGGACCCTGGGCTTTGGCCCTCAGCGGAAGCGGAATGATACATCACTTTCTGTGTTTTTCGTCTTTGTCTCCGCCTTTAGTGCCGTTATCTGAGTGACTGTTTGGGTTGTTGTTGAGGTACATTTTGTCCATGGCTTTGATAGCCTCGGTCAGATAGTTCTGCAGGGCCGTAACAGCCGCGCACAAGGCCGGGGTCCCAAAACCGTGTGAGATTAGACTGAAATGGGTCAAGCAGCTCTGGATTCCCGGTTCAAGAATGGGCTGCGGCCGTGAGTTTCCCAGCGGTGAGCGGTCCTGGGACAGCAGGTCTGTGAACTCTTTGCACACTTGCCTAAAAACAGAGGGAGCAGTGGGATTAATGAGGAGGACTGAGCGGAACTGTGACCCATAAAACTTGGGCGGCCGCAAACGTAACACTGAGGGGAGTGCAGACAGTGACCGCCACCACACACCATTTAAAAACGTCGAAAAAATTTTTTTCACAACGCTATTAATTTTTTTTTATTTATAATATTAACTCGCTTTTTATTGTTTAAAATTCTGTAGTCACCAACATTTTATATCAACCTCTACTGCACACCATAATAGTGTCTACTTTTTGAGTAAACGCATCAAAATTCGAATATCTATTTTGGGTTCGTGAGGTTAAACATCACAGGGTACAAACGTGTTTACATTGCGGACTGTGGACAGGGAGAAGGCCCTCAGTAAACACAGGGGAACAGCGTTTTATTTTAAAACACACTTTGACTAGTCTGGGTTTTTTTAATCGATCATATCACTTGTCATTTAAATAAATATAAAAAAGAAAATAGGTGCGTCTTAATGGAATCCGTAATTAACCGACATGTCAAGTGCAATTTGTGTTGGAGACAGAACGAGTGTGTGAGTGAGTGTAAGGCTAAAAAAACGTTTATTAATTATCTTCAAGCGAAGAAAATAATGAATGACATGACTATATAAAGAGAGAGAGAGAGAGATAGATAGATAGATAATACTGGTTTATTTTAATTAAATTATGTGTGTGTGCATGCGTGCGTGTTTCAATGTTTGCAAACTGTCAAACAAACAAACACAAATTGCCACAGACTGGACAGCAGCATTTGGAGTGGGAGACAGGGTGAAATGTGATAATAGCACTTACTTTGTGGCCAATAGCATGTTTTTTCTTTGGACTTGTTCGTTTGGGTCGGAATGCTGACGGTTTACATATTCAGCTACTGCCTTGGCTGGAAACTCTGTCTCGCATACATAACCAAAATCCCTGGCAAGATGCACCGCTTCGCCTGGGAGAGAAACAAAGGGGGGAGATGTGTGAGATGAGATGGGGTGCATTTGCCTGATATTAAGTATGGTTACATCAGAAATCAGAGCACTCAGTCCATTACAGTCCACACTCTGTGGACTAACACGTGATCAATCCAACGTGAACACGGCGTCCACTCAGTTTACGCGTTCAGACAGCGGGGTTATGGCACCTGTACCTTCCTAACAGCATTAATGATGATGAGAACAATAATAGCCCGTGATAATAAAACTGCCCCGCGAGCTGTCAATACACACCAGGCTGCCTCCTTCCTTCAAGCCGTGAGAATATGGAGAGGAGAAACAATAAGTGGATATGAAATATAGACGCGGCATCATGCTTAACACCATGTCATTGATTACCAATGGCTGCGCGTTATTGGAAGTCCAGCAGATCATGGAGAGCTCATTTTAAAGGGCTGTGTCTAAATCTCACTTTTCCTTTAAATATATCGCAGTAAGAGTCCGACTCTGTACTCTCCCTCTTTTTTTTCTTTTTTTCTTTTTTTGGTTCATTAACATTTTTTCTCCAAGCCTTTGGTATTAATTTCCTGAAGCAGTTGAGTTTGACTGCGGGGCTTCCTGTCCATAAGCCTCTGCCCCGGAAGAACGCATGCGCCAATTAGCATCAAAGCTCAAGTCCAGATAACTGCTTTCCATATAATGGTGGAGAACATAAACAATGACAGCTCTTCCACAAAATCCGATGTCTCTCCACCTAAATGACCGACTGCCTTCACTCCATCCCCCCTCCCCTCACTGCCACCATCCATTATTACCCAGAATCATACATTTCTCCAGGCTCATTACTATACACCACCAAATTTCTACGGAGCACAATGAATATTGCATTTGGCTCCTCGTCTGTAATAATGATTAACAGGGACCAATGAACCGTCGCAGGCGTTCACCTTTGGAAACCCACGGCACACCAAATACCACTGCACTGAATAATAAGGTTCAACTCTGCAAGCAAAATGGATTTATCCAGACGCCAAATGCATCTTCTCAGCTCACCATAACGGACTAATTTATTCTTTAATAGGCACAAAACATATAGCTCCCCACAGGTCAGGGCCATTCCATTTGCATGCAACAAAGAATCTAAAAGCAAGGGAAGCTATTAACGCAAAGAATTAAGTCACCATTAGAAAAAAAAACACACACACACAGGACCCCGGCTCGCGCGGCCACACCAGCGACTGTATTAATGTTTGAAACAATGCAGGGTTAATAAATCAATCGACTTCTCATCCGTGAGGTGAAACAGCTCAGCGGTGCCCAATAAACAAGCAGCACTCAATAATTAACTGGACTTCAACACAAAGTCATCCAGCGTATAAACTAGGCCAGGCGTGGACCTGCAAGTGCGCTCCTGGAAGCGAGGGCCCACGCTGCACAGCCACTAGAATCACCAGCACCCTTCTCTGCTCTTGTCTCCCTTTTTTCCACACACACACACTCGCTCACTCTCTCTCACACACTCGCTCCCTCTCTTTCTCACACACACATCCTTCATGGTTTATTACTCGCGAGGCAGAGTCGGTCCACATTACACGGATGAGTGCATATGCTGATTTAAAACACAGAGAAAGAACGAGAGAGAGAGAAAGAGAGGGGGGGGGGGGAGGGGGAGAGAGAGACGGAGAGAAAGAGTGAGAGACGGAGGGAGAAGGAGAGGAAGAGCGAGAGAGAGAGAAAGAGAGGGGGAGAGGGAGAGAGAGAGAGAGACTGAGAGCAAGAGTGAGAGACGGAGGGAGAAGGAGAGGAAGAGCGAGAGAGAGAGAAAGAGAGGGGGGGGGGGGAGAGGGAGAGAGAGAGAGAGAGAGACAGAACGTGTCTGTGACGGAGGGAGAAGGAGAGGAAGAGCGAGAGAGAGAGAAAGAGAGGGGGAGAGGGAGAGAGAGACTGAGAGCAAGAGTGGGAGACGGAGGGAGAAGGAGAGGAAGAGCGAGAGAGAGAGAAAGAGAGGGGGAGAGGTAGAGAGAGAGAGAGACAGAACGTGTCTGTGACGGAGGGAGAAGGAGAGGAAGAGCGAGAGAGAGAGAAAGAGAGGGGGAGAGGGAGAGAGAGAGAGACTGAGAGCAAGAGTGAGAGACGGAGGGAGAAGGAGAGGAAGAGCGAGAGAGAGCTGGTATCGCGGGAGCATCCAGAGCGAGAACGTGATTTACTACAGTCGACTTACCCTCCACGAGTGACGTCAACAAGGTGACGTTGGCTGCCTTGCGTCTGCCCGCAGGTAGGTTCAAGCCGATTTTATCCAGCTTCTCCCTTAAGGATCTTCCTCCGTTCTTAGACTTGGCCCTGTGACAGTAAAACAGAGCAGAAATTCATTCTAGTGCTGCTCCTGTGGATGACTTTCTCTGAGTGGGCAGATATTTCTGCAAGGATACTGTAGGGTTTTTTCTCTCTCCTCTGATTTAGGCAAAAAATCCACAACATTTGATACTGCAATTATACATAGATGGAGGAGCTGAACGCCTTCTATTTAGCTTTAAGTTTCTAACTCTGGTCTCTTTTGTTATAATGTTGTAATCATCACACCAACAGATTCGATTCCACCCAAGGGTAAAATGAAAGAATAATAATTATGTGTCCGAACGTTTTATAATAATAATAATAATAAACGTGTAATTTAACTGATTAGTATTGGTATATGCAGGTACATAAAAAAATGACAGTGCTAGATTTTGTTTAGTCATTTTCACACTGAACCCTGAATATTTGTGAACAATCAGGTGCTGGAGTATGAAAGTGAAAAAGTTAAGTATGTTTTCCATATAGTGACGTTTGCATTCGTGTTTTAGTTCACCAAACGTGTACTTTAGTGGAAAACGTACTTTTAAGGGCGTCGAAGGACAGTGCATTAAACAGTGGTTGAATTAAATGTAAGATTAATTGAAAAGGCTACTTTAAAACGATTCAGTGATTATGTATTTGTGGTGTTTTGATTTCCCTGTGGAATAAATAACAAAAACATGGCAACACCAACTCACAACAGAGTTGGAGTGTATCAGAGCAGAATAGTTCTGTAATCTGTCTAAATATGTCGACATGGATGCATCCCTTTGTTAAGCCTTCGTCTTATTCTATTAATATTACATTCCAGTATTAAATTGTTCAACTCTTAAATTTAACCCAGTAACTGGGTAAACGACAGCACTGCAGGAGTCGCTGCCTCTTCAGCATCAGACAAATACTGTACAAAATGAATAAATAAAAGCCTACTTAATAGGCAGGGCTGCGTGTCTGCAGCACTTCACTAGACAGTTCACCAGAGACCAATGTTTTCATGTGTAATGCCTTCACTGGGCCTATAGAGCTGAGCTTGAAACAGACTAGGCCTACATTAATTTAGAGAGAGAAAGATGGAGAGAGGGAGAGGGAGGAAGAGGGAGAGAGAGAGAGATCTGGGGCGCTGGGGAAGTTAATAGGGAATTTAACAGACCCCTCCTGCTTTAAATGCAGGAGCTAGGTGTCATGGTTGGTCGATTTTAATTATTCTTGGTACAGAGGAGGGAGAGAGAGAGAGAGAGAGAAAGAGAGAGAGAGAGAGAGAGAGATGCATGCTCACAGAGAGAAAGCGTGAGCTCAGACACGCGCACAAACACACACAGGTATAGAGAGGTTTTTTTTTTCTGCAACCCTCCAGTCAGACTCACCTTCTCAGTACCCCGCCCAGCAGTGAGGCGTTGAGGCACTCGGGCGGTGAGAGGCGTCTCTGCACCTCGGCCACCGTGACCTTGTACTTTGATGTGGAGCTGAGCAGGGAAAGGCGACCCGGTACTGAGCAGAACACCTCATTGGGGTTTACCACCCCACCGAACAGACCGTCCTTATTTACGGGGATGGAGGAAACATTATTGTTCTTGGATAAAGACACTGGACCTGTAGCCAAAGAGAGAGGAGGGGAACAGGGATGGAGGGGGTTGAAGAAGGAGAGAAAGAGAGAGAGAGAGAGCGTGCTCTGTGAATTTTATGCAATGCAGAGCCTTAACTAAATGAGAAAAAGGGATTTAGGCCTTGGATTTAGAATTTTAGCACCACATGTGTACACTCTCTGTAACAACGACATACATAAAAAAGACTATCAACGCCAATGCTACTACGACTACTCCCAGCAATAATAATAACAATAATAATTAATAAAAAATTATTATTATAAATACAAGCAAAGACCAGCTCTGCACAAACTAAGCCCTGTCAACGTCTGTCCATTATCTATGTCCAGCCAAAACACAAGTACCAGTGACTGTAACTCACACTGCCAGAGTGGGGGCTCAGGTCTATGCTGGGCTTTTGCGGCTTTTTGGTGCGCAATAACAAAAGGCGACTGTGCGCCTTTGGATAGATCACTTGTGACATTAATGGCTCAGGGGAGCCTAATAGAGACAATAGGAGTTAAACGAACTCTTGAGATTACTAATATAAGAAGCCAATTATCATGTTCATGCGCAGATAGACTGACTTAAAAAAGAAAGGATGTGAAAAGACGGATATAAGAAGCGGGGGGGAAAGAACGAGAAATCGCTCCATATCTGAATTACAGAGGGAGCTCTACAATATGACCTGACACAACGCATTTAAAGTTGACCATGAAACAGGCCGTCTGCAGTCGCAGTACTATGAGTGCAAATCATCCTTTAAAATTTTGACAGAAAATAAGAGGATATATTGGACAAATATAACACAACAGCCTTCACCGGGCAGAGAGAAGTCCAAATATGAAAATCTAATTTAGAAATATTAGAGCCCGTGCCAAACAGTGATTTCCTCACAACACAAGGCGAGTATAAGGCCTGTGCTGTGCTCTATATCCAACGGTGCCAACTTCCATTTTAAATTCGACCATGGAGCTGCACTGATTGCAGCCATTGGCCTCCACGCCACTAAAGTCCACACAGAAATTCTGCATCTTCGACCATCAACACCACGGGCCTTGAGAAAGCCCAGCACCGGCTCTAAAGACTACTCATCTCCGCGAAACGCTGACAGTAAATTCCATCAGCGAGGTGGTGGAAAAAGGTGCAGCCAGTTTGATGCACTTGGAAAGCATGTAATGAAAAATAGGCTACTGCATATTAGGATCAGTCAGGCGTTACGGCATTGCATTGAATCCTCTCAAGCTGAAATGGTGCATGGTGTGTGTGTACGTGTGTGTCAGCTTTTGCAACATACATGATATCTCGCAGGGAAGGTGCTTACCTTTCTTAATTACAGTCTGGTCGGGGATGTGAATTCCTTGATCATCAACAGACTGTGACAACAAAAGGCAAAAAAGAAAAAAATAGCACAAATGTATTATTGAAATCTATATTTAAAAAAAAAAACATCACCGCATCGTTCGATGTAGTTTTCAATAACAGCACTGGATTTATTTCTTTCTTTCTCGAACAGAAACCTGACACTACCAGCCAACAGCCAGGGCTCCCGAGGCCCATTCCCGTTAATGCTGTCGGTGAATGTTTTTCGGTTGCTTCCAGTGATGGACGCATTTCACCAGATCACAAAGTCAGACTTAAATAACGACGCCATGTCGCCCCACAATCCTGACCTAATTTCGCCTTGCTATTGGCTGTGCGCACAAGGAAACTTCTAATCTAGACTGGATAGTAATTACGGCAGCGTAGCCTATTAAAGGCCTATGAACTAATTAGAGGATTATTGGTGTTTGTTTCTGATTAAAAGTGGGGAGAAATCTCCTCTATGAGGGTTATCGACAATTTAGCGACCGTTTTTCATGGACCTGTATGCTGTGACTCCACCAAACTCACTATGGTGTTGTGAATGCAAATTAATTCGGTCGCAAAGACTCATAAAACCAAGAAACATTAATTAAAAAAAAGTAATGTTAAAATCATCAGCACACATTTCTTCTAGATTACATTTGATTTTAAAATTCTACTGTTCAGAATACCAATATCATTAAATGTGCTTATTAAAAACATTTAATTAAAATATATCATCTTAATATATATTTTTAAAGAGCAAAAAATACCATATTCAGTTGCTTTTAATAATGAAAATATATTTTATTACATTTTCAGGGCTCCAAAAACGCCGCTTTACTAACGAAACGAGGCTGGTTGAACGCACATCACATTACTAACAAATTAAAAAAATTAAAAATGTTGAGAGTTAATATAAATACTTAGCCTCCGTGTTATTTGTATTTATTTGCTATAATTTTAATGATAAAAAATAAACATCAAAAAGACAAAAATAACCTTAAAGACAATGACTATTAATAATTAATATAACATTACAACTACTGATTTTGAATTTTGTGTCATATAAAACTATAATTAAAAAACCATTACAGGCACTACAGTTCTTTTTATAATTATAGCACAATCATTTTATTTTTAATCATGCAAACCTATAAAAAGACTAGAAGCGCAGGTAAAGGCAGTCTCACCTGAACGTCATCTAAAGAGTGAGGTATTCCATGGATAGGGATAGAGTCCGACAGTCCGGTATCTAAGCCGTGGCCGGACGGCAGCAGCACTTCCCTGCGGTACTCCCGGCACAGCTGGTGCGGGAGGCTGCGGTGCTGGTGCAGCAGGCCGCTCTCCTGACTCTGCCTCTGGCCGGGCCAGCTCGGGTGCTGCGGCTGTGGCTGGGCGTGCAGGGAGTTGAGAGAGTACGGGTCGTTGACGTGAGAGTAAGGGTCCTGAGACTGCGGGTAGATGGGCTGGTAGGGCGGGGGGAAGTACGGAGGCTGGAAGTCCGAGTTCGGCGTGTGGGAGAGCGGAGGAGCGCTCGTGTATGGACTCTGACCCACGCCGCCCAGCTGAGGTAGCCTGGCTGTCCCATTGCTGGTGCCATCGTGACGGTCCTGTAGGTAAATAGAAATTAAAGTCTTTGAGTGTAAATGTAATTTTTGAAAAAAAAAAAATTAATAACAATAATAACACAACCATGCGCAAGTTTTTTCAGCTGGATGCTCTGCGGGCATTGTCAAATATGGCCCGAGAGGATGACAGGAATTAATCAAGTGGGTAAAAAAAATCAAACATTAAATTAAAAAAATAATAATTAATATCCCCAGAAGGCTTTTATAAATAAAATACGATTCTACATTTAAAACAAAGAAAGAAACATTATAATTACTTAAGAAATAAATTACGGATCTTTACGTTATTCATGCCAAAATACATCGCGGTTAAGCATGCAAGCGTTAAAAAAAAAATAAAAATCTTACGATTTTGTACAAAAGTCTGACATGCAAATAAGATCCAAGTGTCGGACACGGTGAGGCTCCAGCAACTTACCATCGCGGAAAAACTGTGCACTAACATCTGTGCGGATTTTAGTGCGACTCAAGCACAAGAATAAATGGTTAAAAACAAAAACTCTGGGTATTTGAAGGAGACGAGCTAAAAGGAAAATACCCAGCAAAAGAGGGACAGGAAAAAATAGTAGCCCCCGAAAACAGTCTTCTCTCCTGCACAGAGATCACAGCGGCCCCGGTGTTTAGATATGTGCCACAGTGGGATGATAATCCATGAGAAGAGAAATGTTAAAATCCTCGCTGCATGCCCTTCATTTGGCTTTCAAAAACTGCGTCTATTCGGTGATTTTGGATGAAAAAGTTTCTCTTGGTTTAAAAAGAAGGCTTTTTCTCGTCTTTCTCCTCTCCTGGCTTCTATCACAGTGCTGCCGTCCCTTCGCCCGAGCTCATATTTAGCAAAAATGAGCCGTTTCTCCGTCTCCTTCTACGACTCTTTAATAAAACGCACTCATGGCTATTAATATTACAAGTAATACTCAGTAATAGCGAAAAGAATAGTAGGAAAGCGGGCGTGAGGCGGAGGACGCAACTCAAGGCAGGAGTCTGAGCTTAAATGACGTCCATTGAAAGGAGGAATCAGTATATCTAATCAGAGATGAGGGGGGAGAGAGAGGGAGAGAGAGGGAGTGGAGACGGGAGGCGAGACAAAAAGAGGAATATTCACCCTCCACTGACGAATCAGAGAGTGAGGTGGGGAGGGGGGCGGGAGGGGGGTTTAAAAGGGTCCCAGGGCCAAAACGCAAAAGCGAAATAAAGACAGGAATGAAGGGAGGTGGACCACAAACAGTGGAAGAAGAAAGAGCAGGGGGAGAAGGAGAAGGCAGGGAAGCGAACAATGTGCACCTCTGAAGTGGCTGAAAATCCAGCAGACTGCGCTACGGGCACTCTGGCCGCGTCATTTCTACCGATCATCCCTTTGTTTTCCACCTCAGACTCCGACAGCGAGCTGTCCTCCATGGCTCGGTCTCCTCTCCCTCTCTCTCTCTCTGCGCCGAATTATTCCACTGTCTCCCCTCCAAAGTCACAGTCAGGCGGGCTAACTTTTAACTTTGACCCGGGAACACGAAGACAAATAAATTCCCACAGTCTTCTCGTGTGTGTGTGTGTGTGTGTGTGAGTGATATCTACCGCGCTGAGCCGGCGCTCTAAACAACTTTTACGCGCGACTGTAAACAGCTCCAACTCCCTTTCCTGCTTCTGTCGCGCATTTTAAAACGACCGAACACCATGTCGCCACCGGTGATTTTTGTTGTTTTCTTGAATCGACACAATCGGGTGAACGTCTGACTGTAAACTGACACAATCGCCACAAACTGCACACCACGCGCGGAGGCGCCGAGCTTTTGTTTTTCTGCTCTCGGTTCCTCTCTTTCCACCCAGGACACGCGGTCAAAGGGAGAGAAAAAAAGAAAACACGTCCGACTGGCTTCTCCACTCCCAAACAAGTCCCTGATATTATAGTGCAAACTTTGTCTATGGCCACAACAACAACAACAACAACCTAGTGTGTGCCCTGCACACAAAACATGCACATAATAAATTCATACTCATAATGAAAACTGCACGTGAAACGTGCCGCCTCAAAGTGTTCGGATATTAAAAGTGAAATGTAAATATCAGTGGCTTTTAAGCCATAAATAAAGCAGACCGTGGTGGCGTTTACATTTAGTGGACAATATTTGTTTTAATTAAATATCTGGCAAGTAATGACTCCACATGTCATCTTATATTTGGAGATACTGAAGGTGAATTTAAAAAAAGAAAAATAGAAGTGAATTTACTCATGTAACTAAAATTGTTAAATTACACAAGGTCACAAAATTATTTACATTGTGTATTATTACAATTATTTTTAAAATTAATATTATTAAAAGTATGGTGTATATTATTATTAATAATACAACAATAATATTAACCTAAACAACAACCTAAATGACACACGGTTCTTTTCAACTCACTGAATATATGGCAGAATGGTATATCAGAACAAGGCAAAAAAATAAAAAATAATAATTAAACATATTTAATTGTAAAATTATTTGAAAAAATATTTACATTCAATTAAAATTTTCCAAATATTAAAAATTCGAAATAATTTTAAAGCCAGCCTCTTACCTCGCAGTCTTCGTATTTAATGTTATCTGTTAATTTCCAGAGCATTTTCATGGGTTGTTGAGGCGGGTATTGAGTGTTGCCTTTGCCTTATGGTCTTGTTTTCAGTCAGTGAATTGTGCTCCCCGCTCAGAAAAAACTACTTTTATTGAAGCTGTGGACTGCCTGCACTGCCTGCACTGGCTGTCTATCTGTCTTGCGCTCTGAGGTCTCCCTCTAATGGTGGAAGTAAAAGGGTTGGTGCAGCTCTGTAATAACACTGGCACAGGGCCTCATTAGCATATCAACAGCCGTTTGATTCCCCACCACCACACCCTCCAACCCAGTCTGCTCACACACAAAAAAAGAAAAGAAACAGTAAGACGTACAGACACATGCATATGATTCCCACTGTTCACTGTGTCCAAGTGTGTTTGTTATGAAGGAGTGCATGAGTTCTGTCATGCATGGAGACCTGCATGCACCTGGGACAGCCTCTCCAAATTAATTATGCACATTCTCAAGGCTAAATTCAACAAGATTAGGATTTTTAATTTTAAAATTAAAAGTGCACAATTTTATTTTTTCTAGATTTTTTTTTATTTTTTCATTTTTTGGCTTGGGTTTCTGGCCCCATCCAACCGCAGCCCACAACTTTACTGTGTTATCGATTGGTTTTCCAGTGCTTGGTGTGAAAACAAAATACCTTACATGCAAATAACCTTGTGACACACACTAAACTGGATCTTTCTTTCTTTACCTTCCAAACTGTTATTTTAATCCCATTGAGAGCGGGGTTCTGGGGAGGCTATTCTCTCAGTGTTATGATAAAAAGGTGAGCGGCTCTACAGGTCCATTGACTACATGTGAGGGCGCAGGGTTGTTTTGGAGAGAGGGGGAGAGGCTAAATAATTAACACAACAACATAGCCTTGTTTCACTTCAAATACCGGTAAGGGGAACCTGTCTGAGCCCTGTCGCCGGCCAAGACTTCACCTCAGCGGGTCGTGGGTCAGTAGACAGGTCGCCACATCTTTAAGGCGTTGGCCCCTCTCGTTAAAAAAACTGGATTATCATCTCTACTACTGTAGGGCCCCCCACTCCCCTTTACGAGCAGTTGTCATTAATGATAATGGTGCCATGAAACTGACAATGACAGCCATGCACGAGGGTGTCTTTCCAATGGATGGTGTGGTCGTTTTATTCACCTTTTACAACTGAAACCGGTGCGTTTATGGAACAGCACAAGTTAAAGAACACGACTCTACAAAACTGTACTTTGTTCCCGAGTTGTCGGTATCGAAATCAAATATGCAAAACTACACCTCACTTCAAAGACTCACAAACACAACACAGTTCGGAGTCATTCTACACAAATAAAAAATATAAATTTGAAGCACAGCTGTATTTGAAGTGCTTTTGTAGACATCACACCAGCATGCCGTTCAACATATTTGCGTTTCCAGAGCCAAAAAATGACACGGATAATTTAGAAATGAAAACATAAAATATTTGGAGCTGATCTGTACGCGTCTCTTACACCGTAACAACGCAGCACCGCTCTTTACAAGAGGCTCCACGGTGCCTGTGCAGCTTCATCCTGCAGCCCGTCGACACTTTGACAGTTTTCAAGGATTTTTAACAGCCGTCTCTTTGTCTTAAAGTAAGCAGCACATACCTGCCATTCCCCCATCTTGCCCATAATTGACATTCTTTGTCTTCTGCAGCCTTTGGTGCTTTGTTTTTAGTCGATGCCGTGTTGAGTCTGTCTCATTGAACCCTCGGTCCCAAAGTAAAAAGCTACTCCTTAAAAAAAAAGACTTGGACCAGATCGCTTCACCTGGCCATAAAAAAGCAGCGAGACCACCTGGTGACGCATGCGCACTACAGCGGGTGTGGACTGGAAAGGAGAAACTACCTGAGAAAAAAGTGAAATGGCCTATTTGTATGCACGCGTGCTTTGTAAGGCCATCTCTTCATTTATTTGGCACGGTGCTGTGTGTTAGTGTTATTTTGTCAGAACAACACCTGTAAAAAGTGCTCAATTTTAAATAAAAAAACATACATTTCCCATTTTCCACACACACTCCATGATGGTGTTTATTTACATCAAATATATTTACTTTGTCCGTATTTAGATGTTTCAAAAGATAATAAAATAACAAATATTATTGTAGAAAAATTCTAAAACGTATTTAGAAAAGTAAAGTTTCGTCATTCGTAGCTTTATGCAGGTTGTGTCAGTTTTATAACATAGTAAGTGTGGGGTTTTTTCTACACCGTTTCATCTTGATGGAAAACATGAATTTGCACCGCAAATGAAACTGTGTCAAGTTAAAAAAAACTTGAAGGTTAACTGCCAACATCATTACCTCTGCACAGAAAGCTACCCTACTTTTGTGCGGGTCATTATTTATTTATCCACTGTTTATTTCTAATACATACTTATGTAGACCCCTCAGGCCAAGAGCGAATGAGCTTTCCCTCTCTCTCCCTCTCTCTCTCTCTCTTTCACTCACACACACACACAGCGAGGGAAAAGAGGGAGCGACGGGTGCAACACATGCGCTGAGAGGTGATAATGGTCTGCGCTTAATCCAAAACCCTGTTGTCTCCTCTTTGCACACGCAGACTGACGTGTACACTGCAGCAGACAAATACTGCTGATACTGTAATTAAAAATATTTGCGAATTATCTGCAAAAAATACTTACTAAACTTGGTTCCATTTTATTTTGTAAAATAAATTATTGTTATTTAAAAATATATTTTAAATGCAAATTTCGTATTAAAATATTTTTATTAGATTTGTTTTTCATTCATATTGAAAGAAGGAACACGTTTCTGCAACATGCACAATACCTACAGCTATAAGTCCTGCACAAAAGAGAGAGGGAGGAGGAGAGTCAGAAAAAAAATTGTTTGGGGCTCTTTGCACTTTAGGGAGGAGTGAGTTTTATTAGCAGAGCTGTCAGACAGTGGGTTAGTGTCAGACAGGAGCAGGGGTCTCCTTTTTGAATATCTACTGTGTTTGTCTAACCACTTCCACCTAACCACGAGGCCTGCGGCAATATTTCAGCTTCCTAAAACTGTTCTATAACAAACGTGGCAACGGTTGCACCCCAGGCAGCTTGTAGAATCATCCGCATTTAAACTCATTACACGACTCTATTATGACTATTATTGCTTGATTATTATTAGTGGTAGTTGTGGTAGCAGTGGGTGTGAAGTCTGAGCACATATCATTCATAAGTAAAAATTGCCGAGGCGCAATTTTTCCTAATATATATCTTTGCCAAGTATCGCAAAAAGCGACTTTCACAAATTCAGTTCATTCTCTTGTATGTTTTGAACAAGCATTGGTGGTTGTTCTAAGTATTTCGACACAAGTTCTCAAGGAATTGGATTACTACTCTTTAGATAAGTATTGTTTGATATTTGGCAGATTTTATCTTTTCTCTAAATGGATGTGTTTGACATTGACACCGACAGTCACTCTGTCAAAATCACTCAAAAAGCTTAATTTAAAGTGTAACATCTGTAAAGCAGTAGACTTCTGAATGAGGTCTAAAGCCTATTGTGTGAAACGCTGCACAGCTGTAGCAATAAATTGTATTTTAGCGCCATCTTTCTTCCAGCTGATAAAACAAAGACCATAAAACCGTGGAATATGGTAATGTTAACCAGACTGTGTACGGTCTGGATGATGTATAGATTGCAATGTTATCCTGGACTGCCATCTTGTGGTTGTAAAACATAAAACAAATATCATTCCTGTCAAAACAATAAGTTGACATTGGTTTCAGTGACACGAGACGAAAACTTAAACGAAACTTAAAAAAATAAAAAAATAAAAAAGTATTTTTTCAAAGACTTTGTGTATTGTCCGAATTCTCTCTTCCTATATGTCGTGTGGGTTTAGATGTACGATATGGCACTTCTATGGTGTATATATTTAAGGATATGTAACACTAATGCCTGATACTGGTATATTGAATTCTGTATGACAATGTTTGTATAATTTTTTATTTTTTAGTTATATTAGGACGAGCTTTGACTATACAAGAATTTATGGTATGTTTCATATACGAATTTCAAGGTTTTTGAATTTAATGTACAACAATAACAACAACAACAACAACAATAATAATAATAATTATTATTATTATTATTATGTACGAAACTCACTTTTGTAATGACTAGAATCTACGTTTCCCGTCGGACATCTGATTGCATGCACCGTGCAACAACCATTTATGTCCGGTGGGAAACACGCGCTTGTTCCTGATAGCAGTGAAGTCTTACCAAGGTTGTACGTTTATATTTTCGTTTTTACGCCTGTTGTATTTATCTTATTACATATTAGTACCGTTGGGGCCTTTATGTATACAATGCATTCTATTAGGGAAATATTTTGTTAGTATATTTTATGAGATTCCTTCAATAAGTCTATCTTGTATTCTCATAAAATGTGTCTCAAGTTCATGCATGTTGCGCCCTAACGGAATCGCTTATCTCTTAAAGCAGACAGGGGCAAATGTTTGTATGTGGCGCCAGAATGTAACCGTTTTTGCAGTCCAACCTGTCAGTGGTAACTTTTGTCGGAGTCTGCAATGATTACTTGCTTTCTATTGACTCAGTTTCTCCTGTCTAATACCTCTGTTTGGCTGCACTTCGATAGCCCTTTAGATTTTTTCACTTGTGTAAGTCGTTTTACAGGCTTTTCAACGGAAAGGTGTCGTATTTAAATTACCACAGACTGAGTGTGTATTTTTGTTCCCTAACAGGCGTCTAACATGTCTGTGGACTGGGCTGGTTATGGATATGCAGCACTTGTCGCATCTGGTGGAGTCATTGGTTACGTGAAAGCAGGTATAGCTGTTTGTTATATTTTATTTTAAGGGAAAAAAAGAAAGCCAATCCAAAGCTTACTGAAAGTATTGGTCCGACACTGGTCGAGTCACCAAAAACATTGATCTTAGCCTAAATAACACTATATACCGTTATATAATATTGATAATTTTTGAATTTACCCTTAAATGTACCAGTATATGAGACTCAAACCTGCCTGTTCTCTGCCTGAGTGCCATCGTTGACATTTTACATATTTGTTTGATTTCTCAGGCAGTGTTCCATCTTTGGCTGCTGGGCTTCTTTTTGGAAGTCTTGCAGGCTTTGGTGCCTATCAGACATCCAACGATCCCAATAATGTTTGGGTGTCCCTTGGTATGTGTTATTGGCTTTGTGGTTTATGTATTTTTCTGGATTTATTTGAAATTTCTATTTCATAGCCATACATCTCTCTGTGAGATATGACATTTCATATTGCATCCTTTTTTGGTTCAGCTACTTCAGGAGCTTTGGCTGGTCTCATGGGTAAGAGGTTCTACGGATCCAGAAAATTTATGCCGGCAGGGTTGATGGCTGGAGCAAGGTAAAAAAAAAAGTTGTTTTAACTTAAACAAGCACAGTAATCTTCACAGGGGGTCTTTGTATTTCTTTGTTTTTCGCTTATCTGATGTTTTTGTTAACTGAGAAGTAAAAAAGCAAAAAATATGTTTTGCGTTGTTTTATGCAAGTCTATTACTTTGTTCCAGTCTTCTCATGGTGGCCAAGCTCAGTGTGGCTTTACTCCAGAAACCTCAGGAGTCTTGATATTGTGAAGATTCAGAAATGTATCCTTACGTATGAGCAGCATTTTGTCATTTAATGTGATTTCTTTTTTCTTTTCTTTTTTGAAAGTATGATGAGATATAGTACTTTGTGTATATAACAGAATAAAAAAAATCAAACAATACTTTAGTATATATTTATTTGTATAAAATGCTTACAAAATTATGCATTATACAAATGTTCGCAGCCTCGTAGATGGTCGAAGGCGACTAACATTTGTGCAGGGAAATCAAAACAACATTCTCAAATAAAAGCTGGTTTTAAAAAAAGGATTGTACTACATTTGAATTCTATTAAGATTCTCCAACAATGAACTGTGTAATTGGCTGACACTGAATCTTTCAGGAACAGTGTGATTGTCGCTCAGATTAGTAAGTGTCTGTTCATGGCAACCATTTTATACAAAATGTACAGTTTCCATGCACATTAAAAAAACTTAGACAAGAAGGTGTGAGGTGTCACATACACATGGATGCAGGATCCTTTTTTTTTCTGGGCTTCTGTTGTGCGCACAACTTGTTTGACTCACTTTCACAGACACAGGTGTGTACATCCACACAGTACCTTGTCAAACAAGTAAAAGCTGATGCACACTTTTCCCAAAGCTATCGATTTCCACCGTACTTAGATGTCCAGTCCACCCTCCCATGGACAGGCTGTACAGTAGGACCTCTAGTCATCAGATTACCAGATGTTTTCCTCAGAGCTGAGTAGCTGCTTCCCTTCAGGTGAGTCCCATCTGTCCTCCTCTTCCAGCCCTCGTAATCTGGTGGAAGACATTGGTTAGTTTGTCAACTTCTTGTGTACTATATGTATACATTTAAGGAGAAAATAGCTTAACTAAGAAAATCAAATTCTTTTAAAATATATTTTTAAGAAATTTTTGCTGAGCCAGGCATTGTTAATACTCATTATTATCACTAGTGGAAGCATTATGCCCCACTTGTGCCATAATGCACTAGACCTTTAAAGAGATTCACTAAAAAAATAGAAATAAAAATGGATATAGAGATGTGTCTACAAGTTGGTCCCATATGGCTTCATCAGTCATCTGTTAAGAATTTTGTCTCAAACTGTGTGCAAGGAATTAAAGTTATTGGTTTAGAAAATGAGGTAGGACATTTGACCTGCAGTAATAATGATGTCAATGTTGTCATGCACACTTATGAGATTATTTGGGGTCCAAATTAGAAGGATGCTGATCTGTTACACCCATTTTCTACTTAACAAAAGCCGCTTTGGAGTAATGTTTAACTGTATTGCATTCAGCAATATTATCAGATAAATGGGGAAGTCTGCAGAAACAACTGCTACATATTTTTAATGTGTTTTATATTCAAGTGTTGCACTGAAATCCAACCACAGATCTCGAGTAAATGCAACCGTTCTAAAAACACAGTACCTTCACTGGTTTCACCTAAAGATGGGTTGGACATGAGCTTGGATTTTGCAGCTTTTGGTTTGTCTTTTTTATTATCAGGGGAAGAAGAAAGACTGACTGGAAGAAAGAGAGAGTGAAGAGAGGAATCAGTTTCTCCAGTGAATGAAAACTATGAAGGGAATGTAACAAGTTAGGAAGTGGAATGTAGAACAGAAGGCAGAAAGTTTGCAGTTTGCAGCAACTTGTAGCAAAGTTCCAAAAATGATCTGTTAATTTTTCCATCCTTACTTGTGTGCAGCCCAGCCAAAGGTGCAAGTTGGATTCTCTGTCCCACGGATCCCACCTCTTTCTTTTGGAATGAAGGGATGTAACCACCAGACAGGTTGTATTTGGTGCTTACAAAATTCCCTGGAGGAGAAGGAAGGTGTTGAATTAAAGTGTTGGAGCCATAATTTAAATTCTTTGCTAATCATTTATATTAGTAAAGCTAAAAGTAAACACATCTAATAAGTACGTTTTCACACGCTGATAATGATTGCCCGTGTGGGATTCCTTCTGCATATGCAATCACCTCAAAAGACCTGCGCCGATGAATAAGACTGAGTGATTGAAGTCATTTAACTTTTCAAGTGACACCATCAACCTGCTGCAGCAGCAGTCGCAGATGGTTATCAGTATAATTAGCCAAAGAACCTCATTGTTCCCACCTGAAGATGTTGTGCTTGTGCTACAATTTACCATCTATTTAGCAACTGGAGGTCTTAGTTCTCAGGCTAAACTGTGGATTTATGCCCTCGTCTCCCGCAGAGCTTTTAGCTGCCGGGTTCTTTCACATGTTAAGCCACTACCTGAATACCTGAAGCCTGCTGTATCAGAGGCCACGCTGAGGCTGGGAAATAAAGAGGAGAAATTCACAGTGCATTTGTACCTTTAGAGAGATCAATTTTGTCCCGTATTCTTTCCTTAACAACTGTTCTCTCTTGTGCATTATCCACAGATTTAGAGGTACTCTCCTCTACAATCACAGTCACGGCAGGAAAGTGGAGTTGAAGAGGTGTGTGAGTTCAGAAAGAAGCGAGAAGAGGGGAAAAAAACAAATAAAGAGAAAACATAAGAAAACAAACAACATGTTTGTTTTTGTTGTAGTATTTGCAAAAGCTGGAGGGGGGGATCATGGGGGGGGGGTATAAATGAGCAGTAGGAGAACGGGCCATGTAAACACTTGATCTTATACAGACTCAATCTCATGAATAATCAACAGGGAGGGAGAGACGACGTGAAAGAAAGAAACACTAGAGAGCGAAGGCAGCAGCCCAGCAGGAGCCCATATAGAGTGTCTGTCTACATAACAAATGATCTTATAAAAGGTCTCCGATCCCTAAATTCACAGACCTGGGGATGACTCCTGAAACGACCTCGTCTACAGACCCAAAACAACTGATCAGAACACATTAACCTCTCACCATTATCAGTTACAGTAGCGTCACAAACTCATGATGAGTTGTCTTACATTCATGCAAATTGATACATTTTACCAATTCATAAAGTCACATTGATGTGGAAACAAAAATGTCCCACTAGGACCGTGCACTACAGGTTCTCTATTCAATAGATTTTTATCTTTTCAAACTGGGAACACGTTGTATAAAACTGACGCTTTTCTATATTTCAGAGTGATTTTCTTTTTTACATGTTCATAAGTAACTCCATCATCATCTCTATGAACAAGAGACACTTGTGATTTGTACCTCCAATGGTTCTGCTGACAGCAAGTCCTGTAATAGGAGCAAGCGGTTTGTTTGCCGTGTTTGCAGATTTCTCCCATAGATCGCGCAGAATCAGTCCGCTCATCTCCTTATTTCCTGGTATGATCTGGTTTTTGCTGATCAGCCCTTTGAACAAATAAAAAAAACTCATTAAAAAGCTCATGTTGTTGTCTGTCTGGGCACCAGCACTCAGATTTTAGTGGAATATTTTTGGAATAAAGGAGACACTTTATTGGTGATCATGATTACAATTAAAGAATGCTGTCTTGAATGTTTTACAAGAGTAAAAACTTAATTTGAAATTCTACTGAAGTATAGAACTGTCCTTTAGAACTACAAAAAGTTCCTGGATTGTTGTTTCACACGTTACTGTGGTAATAATTGCCGTACCAGGCAGGTATCGTGACTGGCTGAGATAGTGCTGACGAGCAGCAGATCCGGGGAGACTGGAGTCCACCTGGCCCATCCTGATATTGTTGGGCAGCTTGGTAACTGTGCTGAAGGAATACAGAGCCTTCTGCTCTTTTGGCCTGAGAATGGAAAACAAGCACAAATAAAATTTAAAAAAGGTTTTATTTAATTGTTTGAATGCCATCACAGCTGTGTATAGAAACCACAGTCCTTACTGTGTGTTGTGTTCCCTGGAGTTCCTCTCCTCCTCTGCCTTCCCTAAACTCGGTTTCTTGGAGTTTGAGACAGCGTTTTCTAAAGAGTCGCTTTCCTCCCAACTCTCTTGGGTCCTGGACAACGTCTGACCCCAGCGACGACGACTGCTCTTCAGCCCGACCACCACATTATTCTCACTGACAAATGGTGTTGTTCTCTGCCAGGAAGGTACAATACAAAACTGTTGTTTCTGGACAGATCAAATGTCTGGACATTTTGATTTTTTTAAGGTAGAAACTGATTGTAATCTTGGCCATTCATTTGTATTATTACCACATGGAGACTTACTGCATGGCTCACACCTATTGGTTCACTTTCAGGTTGGGACAGGAGCGTCTGCTGGAGGGGCTGCTGCTGTGGTTGATGTTGATGATGACTTCTCACAGGGGGTGAAGATACTTTAGATTCAGAAGAAGACGGCTGTAAATCTGCTTTAGCCTCAGAGGCCTGCTTTCTAGCCAACGGCTTTGCATGCACTGTCTTGGACTCATGGCTTTGAGGACGAGGGCCCAAAACCTGGTCCACCTGAAAATATGGGTAATGCAGGGCCTGGCCAGAGAAAGAAAGGTTGAAATAAAAGAGTGCGATATACTGTGATAAAATAACAGTGTTTGGGGCTTTTGTTATTATCAGTTTAATTAATAATAACATCATAATTCTACAAAAAAAATGGTGTGTGTCGTTGGATTTGTGGAATGCAGTTACTGAGATATTCTTCATATTTTTCTGTCCCACTAACAGAGGAGTCAGAGGGGAAATTGGAAATTGGATGTTTTTTCTAATCCACAGTTCAACATAATGGTACTTTTTTTCATATATTATAGCATCTTTCAAACACAAGTTTTGACCAAAATGTCAGGTTTGTCTGTTTCCCTGTGGTTAATTAGTGTCATCACTGTCACCTGTGTCCTGTCAGTCCCTGCTCGTTTGACTAACTCATGTCACCTGGTGCCCTGTCTATATTTGCCTCCCGCCCTGCTTCTCTTGTCTTTTCTTGGTTCATTGTCCAAAGTTCCATGTTGATGTCTGTGACGGTTCATCGTTCTCTGACCGTTATCTGTTTGTTCCTGCCTGGCCACGGTATGCAGTGATTTTTGGATGTATTTAAGTTTAGACTGTGTTAATAAACTGCCTACAACTGAAGACAGTCTCCTGAGTGCTTCAACTACATTTCTTCCAATCTGGGAAACCAGATTGGAACAAAAAGCCTGGCACAACTAAGGTTTATTTCCCTGTGGGCGGCATCTGGTGATGACCTACATACTCAGCCTTTTGATAGTGGCAGGAAATGCAAGAAGCGCTACTGTAAACTGCAGCTGCCAAGAAAAATGTGTTACATCAGAGTTTTTGCTGTGACAGTTTGTCTTTAGCTGCTTTCACAGGGTGTGGGGAGAATTTGAAAGTCAAACGTCTAACGATGGGGTTAGGAAGGGTCAATGATCAACATTTAGTGGAAGTTAAAGAAGGGAAAGGGTCTGATAAAAGATTGACTCGGAGGCTGGTGTGTGTGTAGCCATGGATAAACAGACTGCGTTGTGTTTGCTGAGGACTTGAGAATGATTACACTCTGAATGACCATAAATGAAACTGGATGAAAAGTAAACAGCCCTGAACACAAACAAACTCCCACGTTTGTTATCTGACCTAAACAAGCGGCCAACCTGTTGTCTTGGCTAAAATTAGATGACCTTTGGTGCAGTGTACACCTGGGAGCTACGTAAGCAGAAAATGGAAACGCATCATCGCTCCCTGAGGAAAGACGTCCCAGACCTGTGTTACACAGTAAATGAATTGCCTCACTGGAGTCCATATTATGTCCAACTACATAATTATCCTCAGCTTGGGTATAATATATGATGTAAAGGACTGACATGGAAATTCAACACACAGGGGTCACAGAATACTGCAAAACAATCATCTAATCTAACAGAAAATGTTATTTGAAGTATTTCACCTTTGCTTTATATAAAATTTAAATGTTTGCTTCCAGACCTTGTATTTTTCCTACCTGTACAGCAGTTGGTCTCTTCTTTGGGTCCCACTGCAGCAGGTCCTTCATCAGAGCGATAGCCTCATTGCTGGCATTTGGGATCAGTGTCTTTAAGTGGGTGGGCACACACTGGGGGAAACGGAAGTTCATTGCAGCAGCGAGGTGGTAACCGTCTGCCCAGTCAGTCTGATGGAAGACATGAGAAGATAACTAATGACTAATTAACATGTTATATGATGTGATTTGTTTAGCTTTAATTTGAATTCTACACAAGGTTCTAATTAAATTGCTAGTCGTAATGAGTCTAAATCAGGCATGGGCAAACTACAGCCCATGAGCCAGATGCGGGCCACCAAACTTGTCCACATTGTTATTAATTTCTATTTTAATTATAATTCTGCCTTTCCCCTGCAATGCCTGCATTTCTCCAATAGATGGCATAGAAAAGGTTAAAAGCATTTTAGCCTTTCCTGACTGACTTTTAACACTCCATCTATCTGCTCCTGACCTGGCCCCCCATCAAATTTTAGGACCCATTGTAGTGCTAAATAACATTAGTCCTCTGCTGGTTTGGATGGTTAAACATGGTGTCAATTATGTAACATTAGTCCTCTGCTGGTTTGAATGGTTAAACATGGTGTCAATTATGTAAGCCAAAGTCTTATTTAGAGGAAAACAGACAAAAGTGATTCAATTTTCCTCACACCTTTTTGACTGTTCCCAGCACTTGGCAGATCTTAAAGATCTCGTCCACCTCGCTGTTCCCTGGAAACAGAGGTCTGAGTGTGTAGAGTTCAGCCATGATGCAGCCCAGGGCCCACAGGTCAATAGGTGAACTGTAGGTAGATGACCTGAGCAGGACCTCAGGAGCCCGATACCTGGACAAACAGTAGAATATATCATCTTAAACAAGGCTAAAATTGATGGAATATTGGTCCAATCATCCTGAATAATTTGGGATTCTCCCTCACCATCTGGTCGACACATAATCTGTGTACGGAGGTTTAGAGCGGATTTCTCTGGCCAGTCCGAAGTCTGCAATTTTGACCAGTTCTGGACCCATACACAGCAGGTTCTCTGGCTTCATGTCTCGGTGAAAGAAACCTGTCGGAGATAATCACAGGCCTGGAGTTGATACAGACTGAAGTCATAGGTAGAAGCATGAACAGGCTAGTGCTGTAGCCATTAATATTGACATTATGTTCTACAGCTTAAAAAAGCTACATAAACATCTTTATATAATGTGATTAATCTGATCATTAATAACATCTATTAACCACACACAAATACAACCACACCACTCGAGCAGAAGGCCAAGCTACTTTCAGAACAGCAGTACAGACTGACGGTAAAGCCTCTTACCGTGCTTATGCATAAAAGCCAGCCCAGAAAGCACTTGAAACATGATGTTCCTAATTTCATTCTCTGTGAACATCTTACTCTCTCTAGTGCCAGGCCCAATAGGACAGGTGAAAGATAGAAGAAAAAGAAAGGAAGGTTAAACGGAGAGAAACCAGGAACATGCACTATCATTGGATGTGTGGAGGCATCTGCACAAAGATGGTTGTTGTTATGACTGGGATTTCCTGCATGTACTGTTAGGTATTCACACATCCAATAACTGTAGACGCACAGACTGAAGTTAGACAGATAGAACGTCTACATGGACATCAATTATCTGTGAAGTCTATCTGCATGGTACCTGTGAGTCTAAAGTATGGTTTTGTTATGTATTTAATCTCAGATGTAAAAATATTTCTGACTGAAAATTGTAAGAACTGGAGCAGGTCAAGACTTCCCAGTGTGAATTAGTTTTGCCACACAGTGCTGATCACCATTTTCTATGTTTGTAAATCTATTCTGTCCAGCCTGTAATTATTTTTTTTACTTCACTTTCCCCCTCGTCACCAGGGGTCGCCACCATCATTGTCGTCATAGGCACCAAATGACCTTGTTTTCTTGAGCACAACCTGGGATTTGAGGACAAGGTGGAATCGAACCTGCAGCCTTCTGGGGGTAAGTGGCACTCCAATCACAGAACCAGTTCTGCCTTAAATGTTTTTTTATTTTATTTACATATTTATATGTTAAAAAAAATAATTTTGAAACTTTTAAACGACTGCGACAAAAGCTAAATAAGTTGGTTTAAAAACAAAATGCTGATTTTGTCAATAGTCCTTGGTGTAAAAGATGTAGCAGTCTACTTTTTATTATGCCGTTTTAAGAATGTACTATAAAGATAGCACAGACTAAGCAGGTGTGGATTTTATTTAGCCTGCTGCTGCTGTGGACTGGTCCAAATCTGTTGTTTCTATTGCCCTTGCTAGCAGCCATGTTTTAGTGAGAGGAAGAGTTTGAGTCTTTAAGTACTTCATAAAAGCAAACTTTAAACTCCCAAACTATTTCTTAAGGGCGAGGAGATGTTTCAGTCTAAATCTGCTTCGATATATTGATGTCCATGTAAACACAGCCAGGCTCTCTCATGCACGTGCGAGGCTTCACGGGATCATGTCTACCTACCATGTTTGTGAATAAAGGACAGGCCTTGCAATATCTGAAAGCTTATGTTTCTTATCACTGACTCGGGAAACAATTTTCTTCTGTGAAAATAACAAAGATATTGCACTGATTAACCAGCCAGTGTTGGACATTATCATGAACACCAGTCTGATTGGTGCAACTTTTGCTGCTAAAGTGTACAGTAGATGGAAAAAGACTGTAAACAATATTAGCTTTCCCGATTTAGCTGTTTGTTTGTTGTTGTTTTTTTACCAATAATGTGTATTAATGTGAGTCAGTACCAAAATCATAAATGGTGATGTTCAGCTTCTTACCTGTCCTTCATGAGCTGGTAGAGGTTCTCCTTCATGTACTCAAAGACAAAATAGAGATGGTCATTCTCTCTGATGACCTCCTTCAGCTTCACCACGTTTGCGTGGTTCAGCTTCTTCAGTGACTGGTGTTGACACATGGTTGCAACAGAGAAAACAATTAGTGTTTATACACATTAATATGCTTCACTGCTGTAACTGTTGTTCAAATTTAGTTGAACTACACCACCTGTGTTCAACACTATGCAGCACTATGATGCATTTACCTTCACTTCTCTGAGGTTCATACATTCTTCCCATGAATAAAACTTCCTCTTCATCCTAAAGACACCAAAGACAGAAACTGAAGAAAATACTTCACCAGATATTTCTATATGACAGTTTTGGTAGAACATACCAAACTTAATTTATGTATAAAAACTAGGGATGTCCGATATTAACTTTTTGCCGATATCCGATATGCCATTATTGTTTAAACACTTAATTTCCGACTCCAATATCAACGATATAGGCCTGAAAATATTTATTTATTTATCTGTAAAAATCACTGTATGAGTATGAGATTAATTAAATGAGCTGCAATGCTGCCATCTAGTGACTTTCACTTTCATATACAGCTGTTTATCCCCAAAACCATTTTTAAGGCACACATCGTTTGGCAAAACCCAGGCATTCCGTTATCAGGTTTTCATTATTGGAGAAGAACTTGGTTTTTTTTTTGTTTGTTTGTTTTTTTCCATGTCCAGGCTAATTTCATGTTTTTATTTTGGTTGACTTTTATTACTACATCTAAGGCAATATCATATTTTTGTGGCTATTGTGCTGTGCACACTTGCACCTGCATGGACAGCTGGTATTTGAGGCATCTTTTCAGAGCAGCCTTTCACACTGATCAGCGAAACCTTGTCCTTCCCCCTGGAATTATGTAAGATTTAGGGAACGTGAAGATACAGTATCTTTTCAACTGTTTGGGCGCCCGCCAGCTACGACCATTTCTTCCATTGTGCCGGCAACCTGACACACCCACCTGTACTTTCACTCCCTTTCACCGTCACCATAAGTATTGTCTTGCACGGTAACTGAATGATCAACTGGCAGACACATCTCCCAGGTTTCTCATCTATTATTGAGCCATGCTGCTGCTGAAACAAAGACATGGACCTATAAAAGCTGCTGTGTTTACCCTGGTGACGGCAAGACAGACGGCAGTCCTTAAACTAGCTGGTCCACAACGTGACTGTGAATTTCTTATATGGGTGCATGCATTTATTTCAGGCAACCTGTAATGGGTGAAATAGGCTGTGCAATTGAAATATTTAACACTCGTATCATGTTTAATGGTAGTTTTAACGGCTCAGAGAACCTTAGTGACATCCCAAAATGGTATTTTTTTACGTAATTTAGCATCATTGTTTTTTCTCAAAATATTCACGTATTCAAATTTATAAATTTTTTAAATAAAATATTGAAAATAAATAATTATTAGTCTTTCAACAATGTGATGTTCACCTTATATCCAATACATTTGTATATGCAATACATTTTTATTGATCTGTTTAAGTACTAAAATATTAATTTAACTTTTCCTCTCATATTTTAGGTGCAGCAAAGTGCACAAAGCTATTCTTTGCTCAAAATGGCATTACAAATACTACGCAACACTAATTTGTTTCTTAAAACAAACTGCTGTGTTAAACTAACACCTTTTTTGCCTAGAAAATGACAAATATGTACAGAACTGTATATATTTTTCAAGTAAATTAAATGAAGTAATTAAAGAGAGAAAATAAACCGTACCCCTGAACACTTGCTTCTTAATGAACTTTTCCTTTTTTACTACAGTACTACTACTATAAGTACCAGGTGCCAGTACTGCAGTGTGTTAAAAACTGCTGAATGAAGTAAAGTAGAGACAGTTTCTACCTCTTGATAGCCACCAGTTCTCCAGACTCATTACTTCTTCCCATCAGCACACTGCCATAGGTGCCGTCACCCAGCTGCTTCAGGGTGGTATAGCGATTCATCACGTCTGAAATATTTTAATTAAGTTAATAATTGAATCATTCATAATGTGATGATAAATGTTCTATTATATTCAATTGAGATAATATTTAGCTGACACTGTCTAGTGTTTACCTTCTTCTTTCTTCTTCTGGATCAAAAATCATCTCCCAAAACCTTGTTTGTGAAGAGCTGGTTGACAGGTCTGGTCTCTCAGCCAAAATTCAGCATTGGTCCTTTACCAGCCTGCAATGAAAGGAAAGGAATAGAAAACACAATAACTGCCAGGTACCTGGGAAATAAATCCCCTATAAACTGATCTTCTTTTCTGTTTGGTCAACATGAGAAGTGAGCCTGTATGTGTGACATTAGTAAGTGGCACCAAACATGATGACCCAAAGGAGATGACATTGACAGCCTTAGGCAGATTAGGTCACTGGGGATTTAAAGAGGATGTCTTGCTTACTGGCATCCAGCTCTTTTTCCCCGAGCACCTGTTTGTTTTTGTTTTGCACACAGACTTTTGTCGATTACATTTTCCCACTGTTAAAGACGAGTGTTCACACCGCCAGATGTCCAGGTGTCACTGAGACAATGAGACAGAAACACAACCACCCAGCTGCACCAAGCCTTTTCCATACGGCATCTGCTGCAGAGGGACTTACTGGGAATTAAGTCGTAGTCTATCCAGGTCACATGACACTGGGAGGCTGGTAATCCAGGCCAATTATGTTGAAAATATACATAGCTGGTCAGTGACAGAAAATGACAATATAGTTCCTCTGGGTGTTGGACTGTGCTTTACGAAGCATCTGATTGAATTTCACTTCCTGTTCCTCATTGTTTTATTGAGCTGCTGTAACTGTGCTGTCGGGTGAAACCATTGTGTATCGACAACAAAAATGATATTAAGCTAGGATATTTTAAACAAGTACGACACTGAAAATGTGACAGCTGAAATTAGTTGCAGAACAGACATTTTATTGTAATATAACGTCAGAACATACGATAATCACAGCTAGAATTTAGACTAATACCGATGTCATCAATGACACCAGTCATTGTCAAAGAGAAAGATCATTCTACTGTTTAACTTTATATTGTCTGCACTAATATAAATATATAAATTACATATAACATTTATATTTCCGTTAATAAATAAGTTTAATTTGTCTTGTTAATTGCATAATCAGCTAAACAAACCTATGAATAATATAAAACTTTTTAAATGTAGCACTAGTACTACTAGTTACTGCTATAAGAGCACTACTACCATTACTACTAGTAGTACTACTACTACCACCAACACTACTATATTGGTACTTTTACTATACTACACTAATAATAATCATCATCATCATCATCATCATCATAATGATAATATCCGTTTTTTTAAAGTTCAGTAGAATTCTTTGTTTTTACTCCCTGGGATTCAGCACACAGCAAACAACAGCAACAACAGTCTTTTGTTTTTATTGACTATGTTCAGACTCACCATGTCGGGGTGTAGACCGAGGTGACGGCCGCTGTCTGGACCTGCTGATGGCCCAGAGTTTCCCTCAGATAAAAACCCACTCGGGCTTTAACCCTCAGCCGTTTACGTACTGCACGTTCACGTGTGCGCGTGTACGCTCTCCATGGCAACGTACATACAAACTGGAGCCTTGTTTGTGCTGCCCTGGTGACCGATGACGCATGCGTAAAGAAGGCAGTAATGCGTTGTGGGCCTTGTAGTTTCATTGTTTCGTGCAAAACCATAGAAAAAATGTTGGTTTTCTTTCTTTCTCAGGTTTTTTTAATGAAGGTTTAATGAAAATAAATTTCATTTATGTATCTTTCAGTCAACTTATTTAAAAATAAAAAATGAAATACATAAATAGACAGTGAAGAGCCTTGTAGTTGAAGAAACGCACCAGTAGATAGCGCCACAATGTCGCAAAGACTGACCGTGTTTATCAGTGTCTTCTTCTTTCACATAAGTTGGAGAACAGCGCCACCTGTTCCTAACATGCTGCGTTTATTTCCCTGGATGCTCCGTCCATCCAGCCAATTAAATATACCGCAGTGTAACCTTTGTGTGCGCTTAGTGTTTGTGGGTGCGTTGTGGTTTTGCACGCGCGCGCACACACACACACACCAAGTTATGGTTAAGGCAAAAAGCAGGAGCAGAACCCAGGTGGGATTTGCCTGTAAGAGGATTATCCAAGTCGTTAACTAGTCTCCTCCGAAGAAAAAACGACGCACAGCGGCGTCATACGGCGGATTTAATGGGTCGTCGTTAGAGTGGGGTCAGTGAATTAGACCACGTTTAGATGATGTAGAAGTAATGAAGTATCCCAGGATGCTCTTTGGTTGTTTTTACATACTGGGACTGCACGGGGATCTCCCACGAACAGTGTTTTTATCCCGGAGAGCAGTTTCCTGAGATTTGTTGACGGACTGACTCTGACATGAAGACGCGACCTGCAGGACTCGGAACCATCAACGCTGACTGGATGGGTTCGCTCCCCTCCAAACTCAGTGCTCTACCCTTGAAACAGCTCGCGGTGCCAGGTGAGCCCGTGCGTAAAGACAACTTTACGCATGAGTGTGTAAGCCTATGGCAGCAGGATTCGAAGTCCAGCTTAGGAAATTAGCTTTTATATAAGTTAAATATAGTTTTTACACCTGGTTACAATATTTAGTACTATATTACCTTTGATTGTTGTTTGGAAAATGGGTCTTGTTTACGTTTTTGTCATATTTTGCTCTCTTCCAAATGACTTCCAAATTATTTTGTAAATAGACTGTAATTATTATTATTCAGAACAAAAACTAAAAATATTTTTTGTCCTGACAGACACTGTCTGAGCCTATTGAATGAAAGTGCTCTTATTTTTCTCAACCTTACATGACCTTGTTTATTAACCTTTGTTAAGGATCAGATGAGGCCGAGAGTTGGCAATAACTGGTTATTGATTAGATAAGGGAGATGGCTATGTCCCTGAATGGAATTCAAATTGTTTGTGTTTCTTGTTATTGAGTCACAGTTTGAGACAAACTAACCCTAAATTGTAGTATTGTTTTTTCCTGTCACATTACCTGCTACCTAATTTTTCCCCCTAATTTCAACTATCTTTATCTTTAGGATCCCATGATTCCTTCACCTTCTGGGTGGATGTCCGTGCTCCAGTGGGTCCAGATCAAAAAGTCTATGTCAAATACCTGGCCACTATGTTCAGCATGGTGGCCAAGAAAGTCATGGTGAAGTGGTCAATGACTCAGGTACAGCCACTGTGTCAGAGATGGGCAGTTCTTCAGGTCCACCTGATTATCATGTGATAATGTGGCCTGTGTTTGACAGAATCTGACATTTAAGGAGCAGCTGGATGCAGGAATTCGCTACTTTGACCTGCGTGTTTCCTCAAAACCAGGGGAACCAGGGACTGAGATTTACTTCATTCATGGACTCTTTGGACATAAGGTGAGCAGAGGATGTGCCGTACACTGTTGCTGTTTTGGAAAGGTCATGTTGTCTCTGCTCTGTTCACATCTGATGTCAATTATATTTGTTTTTGTGAGTGGCTCGAAGTGGGGTTCAAAGGTTGTGTTTTTATTTTTTTTTAATGTCAAATCCTTGCTCTTAAATGGTCATTCTGACATACAGTATGTGTGCACTAAAAGCATCAGATCTGATTGGTCATTAGAAGCACTGCTGGCTGTTATTTATTTATTTATGTATTTATTTCAATGAAATAGAAACTGTACCTTTTTTACACAAATGATGACTTACTCTAAAATGCAGTACAAATATTTTAGTCTAATAGGCATTTAAACAACTAATCGTAACAATTCGTGTCATGTGACTGATCCCTAAATGTTACTCCATATTTTCATCAAGGTGAGAGATGGTCTAAAAGAAATCAACTCCTTCCTGGAAGGACACAGGAAAGAGGTGAAATATATTTTCATTGATCTAAGCTCTGCTGGAACTTGTTGTGAGTAAGTCTGACGTTGGTGCCTTCAGGTCGTGTTTCTGGACTTCAACCATTACTACTCCATGGGCACAGAGCATCACGTGTACCTCATCAGAATGCTCCAGGACGTGTTTGGCAACAAGCTCTGTAAAAACTGCATGGTGGAGAGCATTACTCTGGATTACATGTGGGAGAAGAAAAACCAGGTGAGTGCAAGAAAAATGGTGGCAGACACTGATGTAAAAAAATAATTTATTAGTATGTATATGACCATTTAGTCCATACTAATAATATGTATGTGCCAAATGTATACATATAATGTATAATGTGTGCTGTGTGTAGAATTTTTCTACGTAAAATAGTAGGTTTCTACAACTTTTATCTGTGACTGGCTTTGGTGGCAGGAAAGGAGAAGTGAGAAGGAAGTCTTAGAATAAAAGAAGTAAAAGAGATTTGCAGTCACAGAGGTCACATTCTTCACCCTTCACTCTCAGTCTGTCACCAGAATGGACTCGCTAACCCTCCTCACTCTCACACTCCTCTCAAACTGCTGAATCGAAGTGTTTATTTTTTTTTTTTTTTTTTTTTTTTTTGTAGATGAGTTTCAAACAAATGCAAATGTAGCCATGTTGTACTTTATATCACCGGATTTGTTTAATTGATTATTAACTTATAGTAAAATTTTCCATATGAATGTCGGCTTATTTTTTGCAAGACAGTGTCTTTTTTCTGAGTGTGAGAGTGATTTTCTCATTGTTTTTGTCCTCCACAGGTTATTGTGTTCTACCATCATCCCTCAGGTTGTGGCAACCCAGCTCTGTGGCCTGGCCACAAGATCCCTGCTCCGTGGGCAAACACCACTGAACCCAACAAGCTCATACAGGTCAGCAAACATTGGGAAAAAAAATTACAACAACAAAGGTTTTCTAAAAACACTTAGGGTTAAAGCTTCCCAAAATGTATTGGTTCTGACATAAAATACCAGTTAATACAGTAAAAATAACATAACCAAAAATCACTCTTATATTAGCTGTTGTCAGAGTTCTAGGAATTGCACGTGAACTTCGTCTCTGTGTTTTCCTGTGTACTCTTATCATGTTTCTGTGCAACCAGTCATTGTCTTACGCCTATTTTATTGCAATATCGTTACAAATATTAACTTGATGTTTCTGTCATGCACCGTCCTTGTCTCTAGTTCTTGCAATCTACACTTAAGAAACGAGAGAAGCAGGGTTCCTTTCATGTGTCCCAGGCCATTTTGACACCCAGGGTCAACACTGTGGCCAAAGGCCTGCTCTGGGGTCTACGTAACTACCTGGTGGAGAGGTCAGTGGCAGCAGATCTTTGTGTGTTGGAACACAAATGTGACTTCAGTGAGGTAAACACAATGCCATTGTAGGAGTAGTGAAATGTGTTTGTTGAGTATTTCAATAAGTTTTAAAAATAAAGTGACATCTTTTCAGACTTGAGAGTTCAGGCTTTGTTTTCATTGGAGCGTCTTACGACAGTTCTCACCACATTCCATGGGAATGAATCATCTGTTTTTCTGTCCATATGTGTTTCCGTTGTAACATTAACCCAATCTTTATGTTGATCCAATCAGGTCTTGTCTAAAGTTCCACATTGACTCATTTTTTGCTGTTATTTCATATCAAATTTCCATTTGTTGAAACTGTGGCCAGAAGAGGGCAGCAATCCTCTAACAAGGAGCTTGCTTCTCTTGTGCCTTGAAAAGGGAAAAACAGGCACCAGACTCCTAGAAGGATTGAGCACTGGTGTATTGTAGTAGTATTGTAGTAACATCAGATCGATTATTTACCACAAAGCATGTTGTCTCCAGTTAGGAGGTGTTTTAATTCCAAGAGGAATGTGTGAGGAAATCCCGACGTGCCTAGCAGCCAATCACCATGGCTGTAAATCCAAGAGAAGCAGACACCAATGCATGGATATAAAACTGACTGGGCACTGTGGCGAGATGGTTGGTGGCCTGATTTTGCACTTCCGAGGAAGTGGGATTGTTTATCGCCGCTGGATAAACACTGTGACTTCCTGCTTTTGTTCTTCTTGTGACTGAAGCATAGCTGTGCATTCAAGGGTGTCAGAAGTGCCGCAGTCAAGTATTGCATAGTCTGTGTGTATGTAGATAGTTGAGGCTCGATTTGTAGGCAGTCTCTTAACTGTCCATCACTGACAGACGTCTTTCATTTTGTCCCTAATGATGTGTGCAGTTTTGTTAAACACACATAAATCTCCATTAAAATATGTTGCTCTCATTTCAGCCTAACTTTAAAATAGTCAGTTCTCCCCAGGGTATTTCATAGAGCTGCCAGTAAGGAAATCATTAGATTTAGTGTAAAACAAAAGTCTGGGTGGATGAATCATGGTGGAGTACAGTTTGTTCTGTTCACACACATCCGTCTCCTATGAACTGATGAATCATTTCTCTGGCTCTAGGAACCTTCCCACCATCATGTCCTGGGTAGAGACTCAGAGGCCAGGGGTGGACGGGATCAACATCATCACCTCTGACTTTGTGGAACTCACTGACTTTGCCAACATTGTCATCAGACTCAACAACCTGCTGTTGTCAGAAACGGAAAACCGGGCAAGATGACACAAAGAAGCCTGAAAGACTGACGTCTTAGCTGGACAGTGTGTTTGGGGTCGAACGCTTGATTGCTAAATACATGGGAATTAATAACACATGACTAGTTTCACTAGAAAGTATAATGTGTGATCAACAGGCCTGATGAAAGACATGAAGATTTAAAACATTATTTGGAGGGCATCATTACACAGTGTTCACAACTTAATACTATTACAGTATTAAAGTGAATTGAAGTATATTCACAAATCCAGCTTGTTTACATTTCACTTCAATCACAGTAATAATTACTGTGACCACTCTCCTCAGGAACACCCTTGGATTTTTAACTGCAGACGTTCTTCTACTAAAGTGGAAGTTGTGGCATTTGTTGGGACTTGTGTTGCTATTCAAAGCTGAATTATGCATTAAAACAAGCCCACTGTGCCAACACTTCTGGCGTGACTGTGGCAGGAAAAGCCAAACACGTGCAGGACTTGCGCCACAAGTCTCATAAAACCTGGCTCCACATATACATTAAACACACCTATAAATGTGAATGTTTACAGGATTTCTGCAGAAATCTAAATGGTGCATGATCACTGGCTGCAGGCTTCATAGAACAGATTATACAAACTGTACACGTTATAGAGGAAGGGCAGTGGTGGAAGAGGCAGGCCGAAGTATTGTAGTCAGAGATGTTTGTGTGTCAGTGTGCGTTCCCTCTGGGTGCAGTGATTACTATGTGTGACATGGACGTGGGTGTAGTGACAGTTAACCTGCATTCCAGTGGTCAAACAAGGGGAAAAGAAGAAGAGAGAGGGAGAGAGACAGTGATTTAACACAACGTAGAAACATTTGATAAGTACACAGGAAACTGTGGGTGAACAGATTGTTTTTTTTAATCTTGTGATTTTTATGTGAGGAGTGTAAGGAGCACTGGTCATCTGAGAAAAAAAAACGGATCCTCTTACTCTTCCTTTTACTTTATAACTTGAATTTTCAAGGGAAAATAAGACAGTCTGATATTTCCAATTTAATATATTGTATATTCCATAGACAGTCTTTTTTTTCCAACATTACTATTCCCTTCTGGGCAGCACAATTACAAATGTAAACGTTGCAGTATAGTCTCTATAGCAACTAACTAAACAGGTCTTGACCTCAGCGTGCCCCAACCCCGATGCCCCAGGCCCCTCCCCGTGACATCCTCCGGTTACAGCAAACAGCAAAGACAGAATGGCTTCTCACCATAAATCAGGAAAGGCTTTACTGGGTTTCGTCACAAATTAAATGTGGTTTGGTTTTCGGCCTTACACAAATGATGGTTAACTTCACTGCAGCAGTAAAACAAGATTGATTGAAAGTCTGGCCTATAAAGATATTATTGCATGTCTGAAGTGCAGAATGTGAATATTTACTAGACAGTGTTGACGTCACTTTACTACCATTTTAATTTGACACCAGGTTTTTGCCTTTTAAATGCCTAAAGGTTTCCAGATAAAACAAATATTATTTTTTTAACCTTATTAGAAAATGTCTGCAACATAAAAAAAAGTCACCTGACCAGAAAAAAAAAGTCACCTGTTGTTTTCTGTAGTAGAAGCTTGATCATGGTTTGCATAGCAAACCAGTCCTGCAAATTTGTTTTTGTTTCTGTGGGTGGCTGTACAAACAAAGCAGAGCAGGTTGGATAGCTGACGTACATAAAGAAGAGGACGGCTGACTAAAATACTTGTATGTGGATTATTCTAAACCTATGAAATGTAATTTTTTGTATGTAGACATCCTTATACACTAGTGTCGCCTCCTGAACCCTAGGGGTCTCTGTGACTTCTGAGTCTATACTGGTGTAATGAGCTGCATCTTGGCACTGCCTACAAACTGGCTCCAGGTACTGGGCAGTTTCTCTTGGAGCTGAATGTGCTGTCAGCCTGTTCACTGTTCTGTGGGTTCTGTTTGGCTGACTGCAGCTTTCCACATTTCTGTTAAATAAATTGTCACTGTTAAAAGTAAGTCAAACTCACTCTCAACTTTTTGTTTGATCCTCGATTTATTTCTGAGACAAAGACTTAAGCTTAAGTCTACGTATAAATAAGAGAATACGCAGAAGACCATGGAGTGTTTATAAACCCCTACTCGAAACTGTTTGAACCCACCCACTGCCTGTGTTTGCAGAGTCAACAGAGCACCTCAGAAAGCTTTGTTGACTTTTCTACAGTTTTTAGGATGTGGGTGAAAAAAAAATCAGCCACAAAATGAAGAGTTGGAAAACCTTTTGAAGCCAGTGTCTTTGCTACGGCCTTCATGAGGCATTCACACCAAAGGTGATAGGCATGGACTGAGCACCAGCTTTTGGTGTGGACTCCACACAGCATATCCAGCCAAGTCGGTAGTCAACGAACCAGAATCAGTGACTGCCGCCTCAGACAGTGAGGACAAAGAAAGTGAAGGACTTGATAAAACACGTGGAAAACACTGCACCACAGATTACCCTGGAGCAACTGGGTACATTTCATCCAATTATCTGTTATTAACACATTTAGTGAATAGCTCAAATTGCTGTGCCCACGCAAAGGCCAACATCAGTGATGCAATAAAGGATTACCACCAAATTAGATAAGCTGTCTGACGATATCAGAAGATAACTGAATTTGTCCAGAATTCAAGTTAGCACAAAAATGCTAATTGAGCAGTACAGAATTTCTCCAAGATTAAACAATTATGTTTTATGAAAATTCCAATCTAAAGGTAGAATCCCAGTCCAAACAGCTATATGTCTCACACTGAGGCCTCTCGGGATCACATGGGACCCATGGAATTGACTCAGGAATGCTGTCAGGCATCCAGCGGCTCTCTGAAACCCACAGGCTCTGGGATGATGTCACTGGGAAAGCTTACCAGCTCTCGTGCTAGCAGGCATCCATGGAGGCATAATGGCTTAAAAGCTCCTGGAAGCACTGGACAACAGAAAGGTACAGTGGATTTCTCTTGATAACCTTATTATCCTTCCATTTTAGGACTGACATCTCCAAAAACTGCATCTGTTAGAGTTGAGGCGAGACCTTCACTGGACAAAGTGCTGACATGCTGGTGTTTAAATGTAAATAAGTTGAGTATCTGTTTTCTGTGTTGGTTGGTGTGACTCTGCAGTTCAGAGTTTATCACGTGCCATGGAAACTATCAAGATAAAAGGAGCAGCACAAAATGCACTATTAACTGTCTATTTTGTTATTTTTTATTTTTATACTGTTTACTACGATTCATGCTGATTGCATATGCATGCAGAGATTCGTTGTAATCTGTGTAAATGCTGCATGGTTAGGGTTATGAATGCATTTTCCTTCCCGTCTGTACTATTTTGTATCTCCACCAGGTTGACGCACCCTCAGTTCCTCCTTTGGGGGAAAAAGAAAATCATCAAGCATTTTCATAAAGGAAGCATGTTTAGTCATGCTCAAATGCTCAGCACACACACATACATTTTTATTAATTGAAATGTCAGCTTTTTACTTTAAATTTGACCCATTTATTTATACATTTTTTATTTGCATAATTTCCAGTGGGAGCTGGCACCACACTTTGGGAATCCCTGCCCTAGCCTATAATTCTACAGTTAGAACCTTTGGATAAAAAATAAAAATGCACAAACCTCTGCCTAATCACGCAGCCCACATTTTCATAAAGCAGGGCTTGCATGCCTGCCTGATGTCTGGAGATGGTACGTGATTGTACATGCCGCAGAGATTTTCCAGGTGATGTGCCCAACTTCAGAATAGAGTTACAGGTAAAAACACTGTAACCATACACATGTTGGCAAAGATGGCATATAATTTTGTCTGCATATCTAGGAAAGGCCGTCTTACAGATGATGTCATGTAATGTTACTGTGTGTTTCCATTCAATTGGTTGGTAATGCGTAACTTTACAGAGATTGTGGGAAAATACGTGCATCAAACGCCTCTGTTATTGTCTTGTCAAAAGTCTTGGGAAGGATGTAATCATCATGTTTCTCTAAAATGACCGTCTGTATCAATGGTACCTCTGAATATTTGCAAATTCCCCATCATACTAGTTCTAAAGCCTAGTGGCAAGTATTATATAAGCCGTTCTAAAAAACAAGTGGAAATCTGGACTCGTGTATCAAAGAACATTGTTCCATTATCTTTCAATTCATCACAGAGGAGTTCCAGCCAAATGATATGTGCAGCCTGAAAGTCAGGTACATTCATTCATGTTTCTGTCCTTTGTGTTTTGCACAGACTTCCCCTGACTTCCTTAATATTTTTTAAATATTGTTATTAACTGAAGCTGTAGAAGTGTCTTAATCCTTGTTAATCCAATGACAGACAGCGACTTAATGATTGGACCATGACTTATCAATGCTTTTCCTTGGTGTGCTCTTGAAACGGCCTTAGCTATCTTTGACTCTTTGCATGCTAAGCTGTAAAACATAAGTGAGTGAATGCACTGTTCACATACCTCCACCTGTCTACTAGGCTACAGAGCCATAAACGTAGCTCCTGAAGTGGACATTTTTCTGGAGAAGTATGCATTCTTGTCAAAGGTGCGGTCACTATGCGACACCTGCTCCTGTGAGATAAGGACATGAAAGCTGTGTGTGATGAAATGAGGATATGAGTTTCAACATATTAATGACTTCCTTTGCTTTTTCTAAAACAGCTTATTTATCCAATAATTAGTTGTGATTAGTGTCAGATCTCAGTCGAGTGTCAGAGTCAGCATTCACTTTGTATTGGAGAGTGGGCAGATTCAAATGTCAGATCGGTTTGGAATCACATGACCGGTGCAATATTCTTCACAAAACTAACTGTCTGGTTTTCATCGTCTAACAGATTAAAATAAACTGACATTATGGACTGGAAAGACACAAAAGACACAGAGGGGTGGGGAGACAATGGGACGAAGGTGAGACACGGAGCAGGGATTTACAGAGGAAAGAAACGCAGGAAGTGATGATCCTGCAAGAGACACAAAAAGTAGGAAGCAAAAAAAAAGAAAGACAGGAAACTATACAATTTAAAAAAACAAAAGCAGAAGAAGAAATGTAACTGAGGACTGGTTGTGACTAAGGTCAATTTAGAGACATAAGACTTTTGAAAGTAATTCAATTTTTATTATAAATATTTTGATTGGATTGATTGGCCCTGGATCTAAGAGAATCTAAAACCTGCCGTATTACCATTAGCTGTTGTCAAGTTCAGCAGTCCTCTCTTTCTCTGACTCTGTCCCTCTGTCATTATTGTCCATTTTATTGTCCTCTATTCAGCCCCAATCCTCCCCTTTAATGACAGCCTCAAGCATCTTCTCTTTGAACCGGGGAGAATAGGAGGTCAAGTGTAGGTGGTTTGTTAACACCTGCACCACCTGCACACTGTGGTGGGTGTGAGAGAGAGGGCAAGCTAGAGAGTGAGAGAGGGCAAGCAAGAGAGAGAGAGAGACTCCCCCCCCTGTTCCCTCTCCTGCTCAACTTTCCAGCTGTAGTTGCATTCCTCTACACGTCGCACTTGGCTGCAGCCGAGGGCTTTTTTTGTGTGTTTTTTTGTGTGTGTGTTAGAGAGAGTGTGTGTGTGTGTGTTTTTGTGTACACTTGCCAGAGTCTCAGGAAAGTACAGGTCGCCTTCCATAGACGCAGACAGATTCCACTCAGAGAAAGTATGCTTCTGCTTTCAGGACGGAGACTGTGATCACAGACAGGGAGAGGGGACAGGATCTGTTCTGGGGACACAATCCTGGATCTAGGAATCATGACAGAGGTGGTCAGTCCTGCTTCAATAATGGTGAGCCTGCCTTAAAAAGTTTGAATATTTGACCAACGTGGCTTCTTGGTCTGGATCTTATACTTCTGTCTCATCAAATGTTCTCTTTGAGTTATACACCAAGAAGGAAGTTATCTTAATATTTATGATCAGCTGATTTTATATCTATATCTAGGCATGGAATGAAGCAACTCTGATTTTCTCTTTTATTACATGACAGACTGGAATTCACAGTTAAGAACTAATGGTAAAAGCTCCATAAAGATCCTTAACTATTCACTCTGTTAGTGATGTCAAAACAATGTTTCATATTTGCCAGTGGAAAAGAAATATTCTGATGAACAACAGTTCACGCAAGAATAGGATTTCCCTCATACACTATTACTCAGATGATTCACTGGATGAGCTCTGGGAGTCACATACGATCTGGTGCCTTGTGTAACTTCTCAGATTTAAGAGTAACAGACAGCGGTATTGATTGCTGTAGCGTATATCCATACAGTATGTATTCTGTTGCTGTGCTGCGTCGCTTTTAACCTGCTCTTCATATCAGCAGTATCAGCTCAGCACATAAGTGTTTTCATTAACCATGAACTCATACCACAAACATCTGGTATTTGTTATGCATCAAAATATACATACAGTTTCAACAGCACTTCAATCAATTTCTTATCTGATGTGCAATCATGGATGTCTCTGTGTTGTGTTGAAAAGTGCAATAGTGCTGACGATGTTACTGTCAGAAATGTAATCGCTGTAAATGAGTTTGACATCCTTGTGTCAGAATAAGTCAGACACTAGCCGCCACCCCCCCACCATGTACGGTGCATGTCAGCAGTATGAATTGTATGAACACAAATTCATCAAACTTTCAAGATAAATTTCCATTTACCTCTGGGTCACATTGAACAACAGCAGACTCTGTTTCCTGCAGGGATCCTGGCTTTTGCTACAGGACAGATAAGAGTGAGAGAGTTCGGTTTTAACAATACGTGTGGATATTGGTTGTTTCCCAGAGGCACAAGGTCGAAGTTTGAAGTAAACATCTCTCTGAAATCTACAGGCACACGCACACATAATTACAGCCAGAGCCTCAATGTTAGCAATTCACATAAACATCGACCTGAACTGGCCACCTTCAGATGTCCCTATTCAACCCTATACAGTTTGAGAGAACCAAAAATCCAAAATCCAGATGTGCAAATAAAAAGTGCCTGACAGTCACACGGGTTGTGGTGGAGAAGTATTTTACCTAATATAAACAAAGTGCAGTACTGAGTGTTGTGAAGAGAAAGAATTAGGACTGACCCTGTTTAGTCCTGTGAATGGCTTCATAAGAGGGCCACTGAGAGCACTCCATAGTATAGAGCGTTTGTGATACAATACTTGCTTTGTCAGGTGGGAGGAGGAAGGGGTGACAGTGGAATGTAAGGGGAGGAGAAGAAACAGAGGGATGGAGAAAAAGACATCAAGACAGAACAACATGTGCTGGCTTATTATCAGAGAAGAGACAGAGACAGAGATAAGTGGGGAGATCATATGATAACAGGAAATCTGTCTATTCAAATTTTTGGGGGGGGAAAACACATTGTAGCACCATAGGTACACCACCCAAAATATTGTTAAAAAAATTAGATATATATTTTAAAAATATTTTTAAAAATATTATTTTAGGTTTTTGTCAACTTGGGAGATGATGTCTGTCCACTTTGATGAGAAACTATGGGGAATTATTATTTTTGCTGACCCTAAGGCATTTCGACAATATCACCATAAATGTGGAAAACAATATCATATTTATTATGTATTTGTAGGATTTATAATTACATCTTACACTCCTGGTTTTTAGGGACAGATATAATCTTTCTGTAATCCATACAACATGGCTCTGTGAATTCAAAGATAGGGCCACGGCATTAGTGTTATCTGATGTGTTATACTGTATATACACGTAGGTGCCCTATATGGTCACAGTTACTGTCTTCAGCACCTTTCACTGATAACATCTCAGATGGTTTCCCTCATCTGGTATATACAATCTGACAGATGGAAGAAATTCAGCTCCAGGTCTTTTGACGAAAAAAAAAAAAAGTCCATGGGTCAAAATAACTTTTCTGGCAATGTACTTTATAAGCAATCGGAAGGAATCTTTTTTGAATAATGAACATTCACAGCCACTGATTGTAAGTTAAAACAGAAATTCCCAGAGTCCATACATCAACTGCAGATGATTTATCCCAGCAAATCAGGAGCTGATGTTTATGTCCATCCTCTTTAAGATCTACCTGTGCTCTGTAGAAACACCTTCATGCTATGGTCCAGCACATGAAACTTCAATAGAGCCGCCATATGACGCCTGCTCTGAAGAAGCAGATGGTCAACATCAGACATCTGCCATGTAAAAGAAGAAAGGGGAAGAAGAAGAAGACAATAGTGATTGTTTATCTGTTTCATATTAGTCAGCGCTGAATCATTCAAACTGAATATGTCTTAAAACAATTGTCAGAGAGAAACTAAGAAAGTGGAAGGTGAGTGACACAGTGGAAAAGACAAACAGATGGAGAGGAAATACAGAAGCGAGGTGGGAGTGCACGAAAAAATGAAGGGAGAAGCCTGTTGGGACAAAAAGGTTTAGGATGAAACGGCCTGGAATCTCCTCTTGGTTTTATTCCTTTCTCTGCCTTTCATTACTTTCCCTTTTTTATTATTCCAAATTTCTCCCCTCCTCTGTGTCTGGGTAAACATGGCATTTTGGGGAGACTCAGCTGTTCCCCAGATGGGATCAAAGAGAGTGTGTGGGTGCATTCACTGTCCCTGCAGGAGTCCTTGGGATTTTAAAACTGTTCTGTATTTACAAAGTTGTTTTAACTGGTCTTTGGGATTTAAAGGGCATGATAAGATGACCCAGACTTAGGACTAAGCTGAATAACTATTTGACAATATTCCACCATTGGTTGTTGTTGTTGTTGTTGTTGTTACTTCACTCAAGACATTTATTTTGAAAAACTATGCAGACTTCTTTTTCTTGTATGATTTAGATCTGATTCATATTTGTTTTCTTGATCAAATATGAATTTTGTCATGATCCAGATTCAATTGGTGATCTTAGAATTTTAATTTTACCCTAAAATGAATAGCCATGACTGCTTTTCTGTTTCCCAGCACCGCTCAGTGACTGCAGTGACTCAAAAGACCATTGTATTCATCTCTGTCTGAGTTTAATTTTGTAGTGTCAGGATAATTTGTAAGTTGTGTAAAAGTTTTCCGCACATTTTGTTTGTCAGTTTAAAAAAAAAACTGAAACATGATGCTTTTGATTTACATTTATTCATAACACCGGTCAGGTCTGGTCAAAATTAAGTTAAGCACGAAAACATCTGAAAAGCATACAAAAAAACAACGCTATTCTTATGAAACACTGGAAATTCGATAATTACCATGTGTCTGTAATGTGATTTCAGTCAACAAATCATGTGATTATTAACTTAACTATCATTTTAAAATCACTGATTCTGTTTGTTGTGGATCATCATGTGCTTTTTCATTTTTATTTAGATACAAATTTGAGGCTAACACTGCGACCCCTAAAGCACTGCTTAGTGTTTAGACTTGGAGATTAAAGCAGTTTTAAGGATTCCACAGCTGGAATAAGACCTACCTTAATCTGAAGTCTAATCACCAAACATGAAGTCAACTTAGATAAGGGATCTGGGAACCTACAGTAGATATGAGGTTGACTCACTCCAGTGCTCTGTTTTTACTCTAGCGAAGCAGGGCCAGAGGCTTGTCCTGACCTGCCCAATTCAGCTCTCCTGGAGAAAGACAGAGACACAATCAGGAGGGACTGTTGTATGAAGGACCATTCAAGAAATGTCAAGGAATGTGAAAAGGAGACTGTAATAGGTTAAAAAAAAGGCCTGTCACTATCTCAAAAAAATGTTTTCCTTAAAGTCCAAGATCTGTCATTGACCTGCATTTCCCATCTGGCCCTTGCACTGCTTCTCTAGCTGATGTTGTCATTATACATGTGTGTTTGCTTTGTCTACACCAGTGTTGGAAAAAAAGACTTGGTGGAATGTGGGGGCTTCTTATCTCCACCAGATAAGAAAAAGAGCTGATGTGTGAGTCATGTAAGCTTTGTGTTTTTTAGCAGATATTAGTGTGTGTCTGCGTGTGTGTAATGGAGAGGGTGAGTGTGTTAGGAGGCAAGAAGGGTGTCGAAGTAACAAAGGAAGTGAGCTCAGAAAGGAAGCTGGCATTGAATTAAAGGAAGTGGTACGGCACTGACTTTAATTTGAGCTTCCTCACTGGTGATTTGGGGGGAAAGTGGAATGCTGTGACACTGAGAATGTTGGATGATAGGGAAGGACGAGACAAGCAGAACCTCCTAAACACTCCTGCTACAGGGAAAAGAAAACACATTTTTGAAATTAGAAACTACGCGTACAGGGAGGATGACAAGGGAAAGGGAGAGAATGTGAGGAAAGGGAAGATAGAAGGTGCCTACAGAGATGTGGTTTGGGTGGTTTCCTGTACGCTACAATCATCTGTGCTTTGGTGAGAAGCATTTAACTCCTCCAGTTGGCTGTTTATACACACGCAAATAGAAGCTAGCCAGGCTGTTTTTGGCTGTCGGAATTGCAGGGTGAGACAGGGGATTGTCCTGGTCTTTGGATTTGAGTGTGTTTACACAAACACACCACAGTGTTAGTATTTATTTTGTTGAATTTAATTTTGAGCTGTTTCCGTTTTTCCGTGTTGCCGTTGTCTTTCTGTTACATAACTGCAGTGCTGTATTAGGATAAGTCAGTCTTTTATCTTGTCGTTTTTTGTGGGGAAAACCTAAGATATTATAACTAAATGGCAACATTTTTAGATATGCAAAGATTTTTTGTACCTTTGACCTATAGGTGGACCCTGATATATTATTAATTGGTCATTATCCATCCAGTGAAACGTTACATAAGTAAAGACTTAATACGTGCTGTATATCTTTATTAGAGTTTTTAATGTTAATGAGTACAGAATGTGCCAAAGAAAGAGAACGAATCAGCATTGATTCATTTAATAATCTATAAGAAACACATGTACACCAAGAGCTTCTCCCAAAAGCAAGTGTTTCTATTTTTTCTTCTGAAGTTGTTTTTTTTTTCCACTTGGACGACTTTCACACGAAGACTTCCTTTCATGTGGGACCATGCCATGCAGTTTTTATAAGTATAACTTGATGTAGCTGTGGGTACATAAACATCGGTGCAGATGTGTACATTATGCTTCCCTACATGTGTTCCATATGTATGAGTGCACAGTAACTGCTACTACACTGAACATGACGTTTTCCTGATTCGCTCCTTTTCCTTCGTCTTTTGTATTGCAGGACCCTGAGATGATGTTCCAACCAGAGTCAGATCAGATGTGTCCCGTTGAATCAAAGAGCCCTCTGGACCTGATAGACACAGGGAAAGGCTTGAAGGTCCAAACAGCTACTCCTCATTTGGTCAGCCTGGGCAGTGGGAGACTGAGTGTGGCCATCACCGTGCTTCCACTCAAAGAGGGTAAGTTGCATGTTGTTTGTTTGTTTGTTTGTTTTTTTCATGTTGTTTGTTTGTTTGTTTTTTTGACACATCCTGGACTGTTCTCATCAATTTCTACACTTAAGCAGAACTAATGTCACCCTCACTCCTTACAGCCACATGGTTAATGTGAAACCCTTTTAATTACTGCTATTAATTATCATTTAACTGTCCTTATAAAGTACCAAATTAGGTCAAACCTCATCAAAATCTTTCAAGATGACCAAGAAACAAAATTTAGAATTAATTTTTTCCACTCAGAAAGTTTCTGTGATGGGTATCTACACTGCCCAGATGAGGTCACAGGGAACCGTTTAAACCCATACTTATTTAAGTCACTACAGTCACATCCCTGGTTATTTTTATTTATTTTCATTGGCAAAAAGATTTGTCCCACTTTTGGCTTTTGCAAAACCAAAGTGTCCGCAGTCAAACACTCAAAAATTATACTAATCCAACAACCCAAACAGCTGTCATGACTCATTCTGCACAGTTTGATGACTCCACACAGTGGAGTAAAAGCTGGACTATAACATGTATAATTTAAACAAGTCTATAATACTCATTAAGAAGAACATTTACTTTACTTAGCTTTACATTTAATTATTTTCTTGTGTGTTGGATGACCAGTGCCACATCCTTTTTGCTGTGCCCCTATTTTACTGAGGAATGCCAACAATGTGAACAAGCCCTTCAGGGGAACTCTGGGTCTGGTTTTTCTCCACAGTGAGACGGAAGAAGAATAACCTGTTAAAATCATTAGTTATGTGACTCCCCTTTTAATTATAGGCCAACACTTTTTATTTCAAAATTATAAGTTAAATATGTAGTATTTACTTTACAGATTTGCAGATTAACATGTCTAACTTTATAGTGCAGCTTGTTTTATTGCATGTCCTGCTTGAATTTTTATCCACATTTATGTATAGACTTCTTTACCATGCAGGTGTGACCCGCATAGGGCGAGAAGATGCTCCAGTTCCCCAAGATATTACGATCCAGGGGCCAGGAATCGAGGCAGAGCACTGTTGTATCATCAATGAAGGTTGGTGTAGTGTTGAAATTATTATTATTATTTTGTACCATTCATTTTGATTATTGTTAGCAATAAATTAAGGTGTAAGTATTGAGAGCCACCTGGATTGATAATCAAAAAAACCAAAAGGATGCCTTTTTTTATGTTGTAGAATGTTTAAAATGAAAACGTTCAGACTTGTACCTTATTTGCTTTTACCAATGGTTTGTCAGGAGGAGTGGTGACCCTGGATCCTTGTGGTCACCTCTGCAGTCTTGATGGAGTCCAAATTAGCGTGCCTACACCGCTCACCCAAGGTAAAGGCTTTGATTTACTGCCACCTACTGGTCAGATGTAGTAGAAAGTGGGAGTTAATTCCATTGTTATACCAAAGTTAGTTAGCTAGGTCGTTGAGTAGAAGAGAAAAGAAAAGAATGAATGAAAGAAAGTGAGAGAGAGAAAGACAGACAGCAAGAGAGAGAAAATAAGAGAAGGAAGGGAGGAGGGAA